ATTGTCTGTACCCAGCTGAGAGGCACCTGGTTGTGATGTAGTATCCCTAATAAATAGAAAGAATCATATAAAACAGTTTCCTATAAACATCACACTCAGTGGGTTTAGCAAAGCTGTATATGATGAACTCATTGTCTGTACCCAGCTGAGAGGCACCTGGTGGTGATGTATTATCCCTAATAAATAGAAAGAATCATATAAAACAGTTTCCTATAAACATCACTCAGTGGGTTCAGCAAAGCTGTACATGATGAACTCATTGTCTCTACCCAGCTGAGAGGCACATGGTGGTGATGTCTCTAATAAATAGAAAGAATCATATAAAACAGTTTCCTATAAACATCACTCAGTGGGTTCAGCAAAGCTGTATATGATGAACTCATTGTCTGTACCCAGCTGAGAGGCACCTGGTGGTGATGTATTATCCCTAATAAATAGAAAGAATCATATAAAACAGTTTCCTATAAACATCACTCAGTGGGTTCAGCAAAGCTGTACATGATGAACTCATTGTCCGTACCCAGCTGAGAGGCACCTGGTGGTGATGTATTATCCCTAATAAATAGAAAGAATCATATAAAACAGTTTCCTATAAACATCACTCAGTGGGTTCAGCAAAGCTGTACATGATGAACTCATTGTCTGTACCCAGCTGAGAGGCACCTGGTGGTGATGTCTCTTATAAATAGAAAATATCATATAAAACAGTTTCCTATAAACATCACTCAGTGGGTTCAGCAAAGCTGTATATGATGAACTCATTGTCTGTACCCAGCTGAGAGGCACCTGGTGGTGATGTATTATCCCTAATAAATAGAAAGAATCATATAAAACAGTTTCCTATAAACATCACTCAGTGGGTTCAGCAAAGCTGTACATGATGAACTCATTGTCCGTACCCAGCTGAGAGGCACCTGGTGGTGATGTATTATCCCTAATAAATAGAAAGAATCATATAAAACAGTTTCCTATAAACATCACTCAGTGGGTTCAGCAAAGCTGTATATGATGAACTCATTGTCTGTACCCAGCTGAGAGGCACATGGTGGTGATGTAGTATCCCTAATAAATAGAAAGAATCATATAAAACAGTTTCCTATAAACATCACTCAGTGGGTTCAGCAAAGCTGTATATGATGAACTCATTGTCTGTACCCAGCTGAGAGGCACCTGGTGGTGATGTATTATCCCTAATAAATAGAAAGAATCATATAAAACAGTTTCCTATAAACATCACTCAGTGGGTTCAGCAAAGCTGTATATGATGAACTCATTGTCTGTACCCAGCTGAGAGGCACATGGTGGTGATGTAGTATCCCTAATAAATAGAAAGAATCATATAAAACAGTTTCCTATAAACATCACTCAGTTGGTTCAGCAAAGCTGTACATGATGAACTCATTGTCTGTACCCAGCTGAGAGGCACATGGTGGTGATGTAGTATCCCTAATAAATAGAAAGAATCATATAAAACAGTTTCCTATAAACATCACTCAGTGGGTTCAGCAAAGCTGTACATGATGAACTCATTGTCTGTACCCAGCTGAGAGGCACCTGGTGGTGATGTCTCTTATAAATAGAAAATATCATATAAAACAGTTTCCTATAAACATCACTCAGTGGGTTCAGCAAAGCTGTATATGATGAACTCATTGTCTGTACCCAGCTGAGAGGCACATGGTGGTGATGTAGTATCCCTAATAAATAGAAAGAATCATATAAAACAGTTTCCTATAAACATCACTCAGTGGGTTCAGCAAAGCTGTATATGATGAACTCATTGTCTGTACCCAGCTGAGAGGCACCTGGTGGTGATGTATTATCCCTAATAAATAGAAAGAATCATATAAAACAGTTTCCTATAAACATCACTCAGTTGGTTCAGCAAAGCTGTATATGATGAACTCATTGTCTGTACCCAGCTGAGAGGCACCTGGTTGTGATGTAGTATCCCTAATAAATAGAAAGAATCATATAAAACAGTTTCCTATGAACATCGCACTCAGTTGGTTCAGCAAAGCTGTACATGATGAACTCATTGTCCGTACCCAGCTGAGAGGCACATGGTGGTGATGTAGTATCCCTAATAAATAGAAAGAATCATATAAAACAGTTTCCTATGAACATCACACTCAGTTGGTTCAGCAAAGCTGTATATGATGAACTCATTGTCTGTACCCAGCTGAGAGGCACCTGGTGGTGATGTATTATCCCTAATGAATAGAAAGAATCATATAAAACAGTTTCCTATGAACATCGCACTCAGTTGGTTCAGCAAAGCTGTACATGATGAACTCATTGTCCGTACCCAGCTGAGAGGCACATGGTGGTGATGTAGTATCCCTAATAAATAGAAAGAATCATATAAAACAGTTTCCTATGAACATCGCACTCAGTTGGTTCAGCAAAGCTGTATATGATGAACTCATTGTCTGTACCCAGCTGAGAGGCACATGGTGGTGATGTCTCTAATAAATAGAAAGAATCATATAAAACAGTTTCCTATAAACATCACTCAGTGGGTTCAGCAAAGCTGTATATGATGAACTCATTGTCCGTACCCAGCTGAGAGGCACCTGGTGGTGATGTATTATCCCTAATAAATAGAAAGAATCATATAAAACAGTTTCCTATAAACATCACTCAGTGGGTTCAGCAAAGCTGTACATGATGAACTCATTGTCCGTACCCAGCTGAGAGGCACCTGGTGGTGATGTATTATCCCTAATAAATAGAAAGAATCATATAAAACAGTTTCCTATAAACATCACTCAGTGGGTTCAGCAAAGCTGTACATGATGAACTCATTGTCTGTACCCAGCTGAGAGGCACCTGGTGGTGATGTCTCTAATAAATAGAAAGAATCATATAAAACAGTTTCCTATAAACATCACTCAGTGGGTTCAGCAAAGCTGTATATGATGAACTCATTGTCTGTACCCAGCTGAGAGGCACATGGTGGTGATGTAGTATCCCTAATAAATAGAAAGAATCATATAAAACAGTTTCCTATAAACATCACTCAGTTGGTTCAGCAAAGCTGTATATGATGAACTCATTGTCTGTACCCAGCTGAGAGGCACATGGTGGTGATGTAGTATCCCTAATAAATAGAAAGAATCATATAAAACAGTTTCCTATAAACATCACTCAGTTGGTTCAGCAAAGCTGTATATGATGAACTCATTGTCTGTACCCAGCTGAGAGGCACCTGGTGGTGATGTATTATCCCTAATAAATAGAAAGAATCATATAAAACAGTTTCCTATAAACATCACTCAGTGGGTTCAGCAAAGCTGTACATGATGAACTCATTGTCTGTACCCAGCTGAGAGGCACCTGGTGGTGATGTAGTATCCCTAATAAATAGAAAGAATCATATAAAACAGTTTCCTATAAACATCACTCAGTGGGTTCAGCAAAGCTGTACATGATGAACTCATTGTCCTTACCCAGCTGAGAGGCACATGGTGGTGATGTCTCTAATAAATAGAAAGAATCATATAAAACAGTTTCCTATAAACATCACTCAGTTGGTTCAGCAAAGCTGTACATGATGAACTCATTGTCCGTACCCAGCTGAGAGGCACCTGGTGGTGATGTATTATCCCTAATAAATAGAAAGAATCATATAAAACAGTTTCCTATAAACATCACTCAGTGGGTTCAGCAAAGCTGTACATGATGAACTCATTGTCTGTACCCAGCTGAGAGGCACATGGTGGTGATGTCTCTAATAAATAGAAAGAATCATATAAAACAGTTTCCTATAAACATCACTCAGTGGGTTCAGCAAAGCTGTATATGATGAACTCATTGTCTGTACCCAGCTGAGAGGCACATGGTGGTGATGTAGTATCCCTAATAAATAGAAAGAATCATATAAAACAGTTTCCTATAAACATCACTCAGTTGGTTCAGCAAAGCTGTATATGATGAACTCATTGTCTGTACCCAGCTGAGAGGCACCTGGTTGTGATGTATTATCCCTAATAAATAGAAAGAATCATATAAAACAGTTTCCTATAAACATCACTCAGTGGGTTCAGCAAAGCTGTATATGATGAACTCATTGTCTGTACCCAGCTGAGAGGCACCTGGTTGTGATGTATTATCCCTAATAAATAGAAAGAATCATATAAAACAGTTTCCTATAAACATCACACTCAGTGGGTTCAGCAAAGCTGTACATGATGAACTCATTGTCTGTACCCAGCTGAGAGGCACCTGGTGGTGATGTCTCTAATAAACAGAAAGAATCATATAAAACAGTTTCCTATAAACATCACTCAGTGGGTTCAGCAAAGCTGTACATGATGAACTCATTGTCTCTACCCAGCTGAGAGGCACATGGTGGTGATGTAGTATCCCTAATAAATAGAAAGAATCATATAAAACAGTTTCCTATAAACATCACTCAGTGGGTTCAGCAAAGCTGTATATGATGAACTCATTGTCTGTACCCAGCTGAGAGGCACCTGGTGGTGATGTATTATCCCTAATAAATAGAAAGAATCATATAAAACAGTTTCCTATAAACATCACTCAGTGGGTTCAGCAAAGCTGTACATGATGAACTCATTGTCCGTACCCAGCTGAGAGGCACCTGGTGGTGATGTCTCTAATAAATAGAAAGAATCATATAAAACAGTTTCCTATAAACATCACTCAGTGGGTTCAGCAAAGCTGTACATCATGAACTCATTGTCTGTACCCAGCTGAGAGGCACCTGGTTGTGATGTATTATCCCTAATAAATAGAAAGAATCATAAGATATAAAACATTACCCTAAAACCTATGTAACACTTATAGTACCTCTAAATAGTGTTCTGTTTCGGAGGTGTCAACATACAGAGGTTCATTTTACATTGACTTAATGGTTAACAGATTTTTGGGAAATGAAGGTGTTCCACTTTACAGGTTCTACATTATTGAGAGAGGTAGTAAGAATCAAGATTCAAAAAGGCTGAATTTATCTCTTAATAGTTGAAATGTCTTACTGGGCCATCTGTATAGCATCTATCCATTTACGCTTCTGGTCTTCTGTCTTTGCAAAGAAGTTGAACACTGATTTGTTTTGTTTCTCCACAAGCATAAATTGGTAACTCCACTGCAAATAATATCACATACATTTGTCTTATATATTGACTCTTTGCACATACATTTGTCTTATATTGTAGACTCTTTGCACATACATTTGTCTTATATTGTAGACTCTTTGTTGTCATAATGATGACATCATAGGCGCAATAAAACTCCTCTAGTGTTATTGTACCCATTTGTACAGTTTTTATTTAAAATGCTATTCAAATACAGTGAATCAAAATGAAATCAAATTAGCCTGATATTTGCTCTTCACTGGGTATAGATGTATGTACCATAAATGGCATGAAAAGGGATGCTCCCTAAACATTTTTGAATGCCCATAAATAAATCCATATAATATTTACAATTAACCAATGTTCAACATTTGAACAGTGGTGAAAATATCCTCCATGAAAAAGATACAAGTGTAAGCATATGATTGTCAAGAACCCTAAGGATTTTATCATAAACAACTGTCTTTGATATGTACGTATCTCATAGTTACCTTAGGATCTTTAGCCTTGTGTGTTATGACACTGTTCTCTTCCACTCTGTACTGTGATAAGATTAGGGCATTTTTGTAGCTATATTGCTCACCCTGTAAGGAATGCATAGAAAGTTGTCAAATAAGTGTTTTCAATAATCTTGTATCATTTGTTTGGCCCACTCCTTAAGCTAGTCTTAGAAAGGGATGGTCATCTTGTATAATGATAAAGGTGATAATGATAGGTTTTGCCACAAAGCTATTAAATCTTACAATATACTGGCTAAAATTATATACAATTTGGTAAAACCTGTGGCCTGTGCACATGGAAAGCCTTCGGACCGACTAAAAGTGAACGTTGTTACAGATAGGTGTTCCTTATAGTAGAGGGTTAATTAAAGTATAATCAAAAGTGATCCAAGAAACAGGTTTTACAGTTAACAGAATTTGGTGATCAAATGTTGACAGTCTATATGTTCAAGTACATATGAATGTACAAGTCCTGCTCAAAAATACATGAAAACAAACAAGATTGGGTTATTAGTATTATTGGCATAGTTGAGCTGGACTGAGGGAGTCCATAAAGTTTCTTTATACTTTTCACAGACTATGTATTGTAATTGTAAAAGAGTTTATGGACATCCCGTATCATATCCAGACTGAACACTAGAGGTTCCACCATTCATGCACCATTTAACTTACCCAAATATAATTATGGGTTGTTTTCTTCATTTGTTTACTTCATGTCAAACCAAATATTTAGCAAAAATGTGATTGCAATGAATTTTTTTGTGTGGCACAAAAGCAATTTTTTTTCCATTATTTCTTTTCAGATAAAAAAGGCATTGATAAAATGAAATAATAATGAGATACCTGGTTGTAATTACAAAATGTAAAAACACAAATGCTGAACAATATAATAATAGTGGCTATTACACATTGTCACCATTTCTTCAATAATGAACTGAATCATGAATCAAATATAAAAAGATGGTGAGTGTATCATTGGATCTCTGGTGAACACATGCTCAGTATTACCACAACCAATGCATACAGAGTGTCAAGAAAATTGTGGCAAGTTGGTAAACTTTCTGGACACTCTGTAGATCAAAATTTTAACAATGCGAGTAAGTCATAATAATTGCCCTTACAACAAAATACAGAAAAATGCAAGTTTCTAAATTAAGCAATCAACATGAAAAAAATCCTTATTCCTATCATATAAAATGGAATTATTTGAAATAAAATTCTATTATCTGAAAATCTAAATTGGTTATAAAAAAACTAAAAAGAAAACTTTTTTAATGATCTTCTCATAAACATTTACTACATTCGATCTTTACAAATATGGAATAGATATTTCCATGAATGTTTTTGTAAGAATCGTGTCCTCATGCCCTTCCTTATATGGTCATGCGCTCATCTGATTTAACCATAATACCAATTTCTACCATTTTATCTATGTTACCTCAGGTTGTACAAGAAGTTTGCAGGAGATTCATGAATATCATTTGAAAAAGCTGTTGGCATCTTTTTGTTTTCATCGAATCATTTTACAAACAATTTACAAGCAATGTAATGCATAGCTCCAGAAATGTTACATATGAGACATATCTTCAGTAGATTCCCAAGGTTCACATATGCATTAGATTGCACATGTTTCTTAACTATAATTAAATAACTGGGTCAATAGCCCCCCCCCCCCCCTTCCCTTCTGCAACAAAAACATTGTATGGTTTCTGGACAGACTGGACGAGTTCACCATAATAGACAATTCCAGAATGTGATTTTAATACACCCTCATATTAGAGTAATTTGTATGTCCAATATGAGTATTCTCTGTGCAATAAAAAAACAAAATACACCAAATCAGAGTTTTATACTGAAAAAATAGATGTATACTAGAAAGTATGTGCAACTAAAGAATTGGCTTAGTATTTTTCCCAAAAAATGTCAAACATGCTGACATGAAAAAAAACATGAAAATTTAATTCTATTAATTCAAAAAATAACAAGATTACAGCAACGCCAAAGCATAGCAAATCCCATCAAACAGCAATGGCTACCATTTTCACAAAATCCATCGACTTCCCTTTTCAGTTTTTTTCAATTTGTCACAATAAAATGTAATATGCCTCTAGTTAAGCAAATATGAGATTGCACAAAATAACAATTGTAAATTTTTTTTAAGATTGCCACGATGTCTTTTTTTAAATATATAGACTTTGAACCTAATCAATATCCTACATAATTTTTGCATTTAGAACATATCTATATTACAGTTCTATATGTTCTTCCTAAATTACTGTAAAATTGATACTAAAATGGCGGCCATTTTGAAACTGGCAGCCATTTTGAAAATATATGTACAAACATATAAAGGATATTGGTCTAATAGTATTTGAGTTATTGCCCGAACGAATGGAAGGGCAGAGTAGAATTCTCTACATCCCCACAAACTTTGTTTGATGGGATGAAAATAAAATCAAATTTCCAAAAGAGTGGGTAAGGCTATACACCAATGAGTCTTAGTTACTTTTATTGGATTATGTTTTTGTATCTTACCCCCAAACTGTAGTACTAATAAAAAAAAAATACAACATGCAAACATTAATTACACAAACATGAAACAATGCACAACACAACATATAAAGATAGGGTTAACTAACTGTTTTTGGGGGATAACTGAAAAAGTCACAAATAAAATGGTAGAAAAAGATATTAGACTTAAATTTTACTGGCAATACCATGCCAAACATTTTATTGCCAGATGGAATTTAAGTTTCATATTAGCAGAAATTGTATTAATATATTCTTACCCATAATAATTTGTCGACCATCTACATTGTTAGCAAAACAAACAGTCAACAATTGTAAGGACAATCAATTGTAAATTGTGAGGACAATCAATTGTAAATTGTGAGGACAATCTATTGTGAACTACGAGGACAATACATTTTGAATTGTAAGGACATTAAATTTCGAATTGTAAGGACAATAAATTTTGAATTTTGAAGACAGTCAATTTTGCATTGTGAGAATCAGTTTTGAATTGTTGAGGATGATCAACAGTTGATGTTATTCCACTCAAAGTGTCAAAAACTAAGAACACTACATGTGAATTGTGGGGGCAATAAATTGTGATTAATTGAGAATCGTGAGGACAATAAATCATTAGTTTTGAAGACAATCTACTGTGAATTGTGACTACAATCAATAGTGAATTGTAAAGAAAATCAAGTGTGAATTGAAAAGACAACAATTGTGAATTTGCTTCCATTTTTCTCTTTCATTTTTATTCATTTAGCTTTTGATCTATGACTAAAACATTTCTTTTAAATGGTATGACCCACGGAATATATACGTCCCTTGGGGTGTCTTTTTCATGTTGTTGATGAAATGTTGTATGATGTAAATTTGAATGAATAAATTGAATTGAATTGTAAGGACAATCAATGTTGAATTGTGAGGACAACCAACAATTGGTCTTATTCCATTAAAAATATGAAATACTAAAAACTCTGCCTGTTTCTCAATTGTTATATGAAATGTATCCTCTTTGAAAGACTTATATTGAATATGCAAATAATTCAAATGTGCACATTTCACAAAATAGGCAAACTTCAAAAGTATGCAGGCTTTGTTAACAAATTTTCAACAATGTAATCAAAATCTAAAAGCATTGAATTGATTTACAACAACATAATAACTAGTCTATTGAAAATATTTTAACTTTAACTTAAACAATTCACAAGTTCTATGCATTTCAAGGTTTGATGTAATTTAACTCAAATGAGCTAGAAACTGGCACATTTCTCTAACATGGTTGAAGATCTATAACATTCATATTACAGAATTTCTAAAGTGCATTAAAGCTCCATTAATTCTGAAGTATCACATGTTAAAGCACTGTATATTTAGTAATACACAGCCCAGTGTAAACATTATGTCCTTTTTGGGCTTTGCATTAAAACGTATCCATTAAAGTATCCATTTTCTTACAAATCATCATACATTTATTATTCCATATTTAATAATGTTATTATTCACTGTCATGTTCCTCACTCTCTGACTGGTGTGACGAGGAAATAAAAAGCCACCATATTCCCCAGCTTTGAGTTTGTCCAGTGTAATCTGAACAATATTTCTGGCTGGCATTCTGTCAAGTATACTTTGAATACTTTACACAATCTAAAGAATTCATGTTAATATCCATTAAGATAGCACTAAAGGCAACAAAAACATCAATGAAGATCTTGAGAGTGAGGATTATTAACAGCAAACAAAACAAAAGTATCATGATATTTTTGGTGAATACGAGTGCATCTTCAAAAAAGCTCAAATTTCCCTAGCCAGTGAAAGATTAACACATGGGAATATTGAACTTGTGAAAGATGCAGAGGGCTAAAGGGAATATTGAACTTGTGAGAGATAAACAGGGCTAAAGGGAATATTGAACTTGAGAAAGATGCATGGGTATTCACATCAATAGAATGAAATATTTGTACAATATTTACCGTCATCTACTTAAAGGTGGAATGCCGAAAACATTAACATGATTGAACATGTTGAACAACTAATATACAAACTTTTTGTGGCTTGGTTGAATGACTATGAATCCCAAATTCTGATGTGTCTCATCAAAAGACAATAGAGTGACAAGGATTATGTCATGCAGAGTAATTTTTGTGCAAATTTTCTTCTTGGATCATAAAATGTAATTTTAATTTGATATACTTACGATATGTGGTGAAGTGTTTAAAGGTAGGTCGTGTGACACAAAACAATGATCATGTTACACATAAACAACGATTCATGCATCAGATGGCGCAATTAAAAGGGAGGTCAATTTTACGACACACAAAAACTGTTTAGCTCAGCTTGAAAGGACAAGGTGCAATTATTGGCAAATATCCCTATGGTCAAAATGAATCATTCGTAGGTGTAACATGAAGAATAAAATGTCATATAATACTTTGGAAAATATTAAAGTGCTCGGAAACACATAAGCTGAGATAGGGATCATTTCGTTCAGTAAGGTTGTATTGACCTACATGGGGCTGTGCACCATTGACTTAACATGAGGATATCAGCAGATCCTAATAGAGGCCATTGGTTTCCATTGATTATCACAGAAATACCAAAAATACACTATGACCTGAATCGATTGCAAACTTAATAATTTCACAATACGACACAAATGGTTTATCTCATCAAATGTGCAAATATGAAGTTTGCAATCGATTCAGGTCATACTTAAAATTAAAAGATTGTACATTTTTTCATCATTTTTTCCCTACAAAATGGCTATAGAAAAATGCTCCAAAAACAACTTTTACACTTATCAAATATCATAAAATTCATTCAAGATTTTCAATTTATTTACTGACACTCACCCGTGATTTGCACATCAGCATCACTTTGTCAAAGAGAAATATACATCTGAAAGAAAAATATTTGTATGAGAAAAACATGTATAACTAAATCTCTTTGATATTAAAATGTTATCTTTAGGAGTTGTTAATAGAAAATGTTCATAGTTTGATATTAGAAATACATTCAATTGACTAACTTAACTTTCGACAAAAACTTCTTCTGACTAACTAATCACAACATATTATAGTGAGCAAGCCATCCGGTATGGGTATAGTTTATCTTCAAAAACTGATTATGAGGGAATATGGGGACATACAGGTACATGGAATTACATATTTATACAATGTACATTGTTATTCAAATGCCAATTATGGTACCTAATAATTTCATTTAACATAACAAAGCATATTCCTTAAATTTTCATGGTCTAGTCCTTGTGTCTTCATGGGACTTCACCCATAGTTCCCTATCATTCAGCAGTCTCCCATAATCCATACCCTATATTCATATTTCTAGTAGTTCTACCTGTTACTCGGCCTAGTCCTTGTGTCTTCATGGGACTTCACACGTAGTTCCCTATCATTCAGCAGTCTCCGATAATCCATACCCTATATTTATATTTCAAGTAGTTCTACCTGTTACTGGGCCTAGTCCTTGTGTCTTCATGGGACTTTACCCGTAGTTCCCTATCATTCAGCAGTCTCCCATAATCCATACCCTATATTCATATTTCTAGTAGTTCTACCTGTTACTGGGCCTAGTCCTTGTGTCTTCATGGGACTTCACCCGTAGTTCCCTATCATTCAGCAGTCTCCCATAATCCATACCCTATATTCATATTTCTAGTAGTTCTACCTGTTACTGGGCCTAGTCCTTGTGTCTTCATGGGACTTCACCCGTAGTTCCCTATCATTCAGCAGTCTCCCATAATCCATACCTTATATTCATATTTCTAGTAGTTCTACCTGTTACTGGGCCTAGTCCTTGTGTCTTCATGGGACTTCACCCGTAGTTCCCTATCATTCAGCAGTCTCCCATAATCCATACCCTATATTCATATTTCTAGTAGTTCTACCTGTTACTGGGCCTAGTCCTTGTGTCTTCATGGGACTTCACCCATAGTTCCCTATCATTCAGCAGTCCCCCATAATCCATACCCTATATTTATATTTCTAGTAGTTCTACCTGTTACTGGGCCTAGTCCTTGTGTCTTCATGGGACTTCACCCGTAGTTCCCCATCTTTCAGCAGTCTCCCATAATCCCACCCTATATTTATATTTCTAGTAGTTCTACCTGTTACTGGGCCTAGTCCTTGTGTCTTCATGGAACTTCACCCGTAGTTCCCTATCATTCAGCAGTCTCCCATAATCCCCACCCTATATTTATATTTCTAGTAGTTGTACCTGTTACTGGGCCTAGTCCTTGTGTCTTCATGGGACTTCACCCGTAGTTCCCCATCTTTCAGCAGTCTCCCATAATCCTTCAGAGATGTGTTCACCGGCTGTTACAGGAAGAATAAAAATAACAAAGTTGGTCAAACATTTAATGAGCAAACTGGTGATATTAGGGCCAATAGATAATTATTTCTATAATTTGATAAGGATTTCTATATGTATGGTTGACAGTGTTCTCCCCATCATTTTGTTCAGTGGATGTACAAGTTTTGATAATGGTCATGATATTTCAATTTTTATGATTTTCTTAATATTCTACATTAATGTCAATTGGTTTTTGGTAGAAGCAAAATTGACTGGAGATGCTAAAAACATTAGATGTATGTAATCATTGTGAGATGCTAAAAACATTAGATGTATGTAATCATTGTGAGATGCTAAAACATTAGATTATGTAATCATTGTGAGATGCTAAAAACATTATATGTATGTAATCATTGTGAGATGCTAAAAACATTAGATGTATGTAATCATTGTGAGATGCTAAAACATTAGATTATGTAATCATTGTGAGATGCTAAAAACATTATATGTATGTAATCATTGTGAGATGCTAAAAACATTATATGTATGTAATCATCGTGAGATGCTAAAAACATTAGATGTATGTAATCATTGTGAGATGCTAAAACATTAGATTATGTAATCATTGTGAGATGCTAAAAACATTAGATGTATGTAATCATTGTGAGATGCTAAAACATTAGATTATGTAATCATTGTGAGATGCTAAAAACATTAGATGTATGTAATAATTTTGAGATGCCAAAAACATTAGATGTATGTAATCATTGTGAGATGCTCAAAACATTAGATGTATGTAATCATTGTGAGATGCTAAAAACATTAGATGTATGTAATGATTGTGAGATGCTAAAAACATTAGATGCATGTAATCATTGTGAGATGCTAAAAACATTAGATGTATATAATCATTGTGAGATGCTAAAAACATCGGATGTATGTAATCATAGTGAGTTGCTAAAAACATTAGATGTATGTAATCATTGTGAGATGCTAAAAAGATTAGAATATGTATGTAATCATTGTGAGATGCTAAAAACATTAGATGTATGTAATCGTTGTGAGATGCTAAAAACATTAGATGTATGTAATCATTGTGAGATGCTAAAAACATTAGATGTATGTAATCATTGTGAGGTGCTAAAACATTAGATGTATGTAATCGTTGTGAGATGCTAAAAACATTAGATGTATGTAATCATTGTGAGGTGCTAAAACATTAGATGTATGTAATCATTGTGAGATGCTAAAAACATTAGATGTATGTAATCATTGTGAGATCTTACAAGATCTTCAATGCTTCCTAAATGTGCTAGAATAAAACATATTTTCAATAAAACCAGATGATTTGGAATATTCATGCCCTCTAAGTCAGTCACATCATATCAAAAGTCAATTCTGTAATATCACCCCATGCAGACAGATCGCCTAAAATTACATTTTTATGATGCGAGACTCAACATTCACAAGGAAGTTAGAAAACATTTTGCCACCCATGAAGCAAATCAATTTTTTACTGCTTAATAAATGGTGAATGACAGTCACAAGGAGTTCTATAAGTATGAGAATAGCATGACGTCTTAATATTTCAAGGTAACTTTTGTTTAAATAGTGATGGCGGTGATAAAAATAACGATGTAAAGATAAAACCGCAACAAAATATTTGTAGATTTCTTTGAAAAACTAAGAAATATACATCACATATCGAATTGATTCTGTATATCGCTATACTCTCGTGAGTATATGATATATTCACTTGTTCCCTTCAGTCACTCGTGAATATATCATATACTCACTTGAGTATAAACACGATATACAGAATCAACCATTATATAACCTCATAGTATATTAGACTGCACTGTTATGTTACTTCCAGATCAATACAATGTTAAGCAAACTTCCACATTCCTCTTTCAAACTAATCATGAGGCATTAACAAAGATAAAATGTCACCACGCCATTGACAAATAAGTATAACCATTCATTTCAGATAGTCAAAAAACTAATAATGGTCACAAAATGTTCGCTATAGCAATAAAATGAGGTCCAACATATTAGTTAAGTTACTAATTTGAATTATGTTGTGCTTATACGGTTATTGGGTAAAAGAGTGTTAAAAAGTAGAGAACTAACTAATATTTATTAATTACTAAAAGTGATTTTATGAGTACTACATGTACAATGCACATAAGTTGGAGCTTAAAAGGCTCTGGAATTTCATGAAACAACAAAATCTTCCCTGGTATGAAACTTAATTTGTAATTCAAAATAACTCTAAATTAAAACATGTCTGAATGACCCGTCCAACCCTTTCAAATAACAATAATCATTTCATGGGACTGGGGGTAGCAATGTTTTTACTCACATGTATGGAGATCACTCACCAACACATGGTTAAAGCAGAGAACCCCATGTCAGTAATCTCAAGCATCTACATTCCCATTTGCCCATATTTTCTAGATTGCATAATACAATGTTCAGAATGTTTAATCAAGTCCTCGTTAATTTTGTTAAACATTTCCATGAGCTTTTTCACCTCAACAACCAAGTGCTTTATTATACAATGGACCCACATCTAAAACATCAAGAGTCATGTTATTTCAAAGTATTTATCATAAGATCCTTTAGCATCTACTTTATGTCTGTTCTCTTTATTCCTTGCTAATTTCCTCCCTTTTATTGAAAAACATGACAGCATGACATTTTATTCAAGGGTCAGAAGAGTTAAAGCAAAGGCCATACCATAGAGAGATCGAATATACTGTTTTGTATTTCCATTATAGTTTGTAATGTCTCATGGTCCCTTTTCACCTCATTTATATACAGTGACAGGTCCTAGAAGAGAGAAGAGAGTACAGGGTGATCAGAATTTTTAGTTACCAGAGCTAAGTCAACGATGTTCGCCTGGATTTCCATCGTGGTTTGGATTGTTTCGTGATCACGTTTCACTTCATTCACGTACAAAGAGAGATCCTATAAATAGATTTAAAGTAAAGCACATACATCCAGATTTTTCTGGATCAATTAACAAGATTGATTGTACGATGTATTACTTAGATTAAAATAACTAAATGGATCTCTTAGTTTGAATCGACTTCTAAAGTTTGGACCATCATATCTTGAAAATGAAACCGCCATCTACTTGGTTTCTGTAAAATTCCAAAGCTGAGCAGAGACCTTCTTTGTACATAACTTGAAAGGAAAGGAAGAGGTGCGTTTATTGGCAAATACCCCTATGGTCAAAATAAATAACCCTTAGGTGTAACATGAAGAATAGAATGTCATATAAATCTTTGGAAAATATTAAAGTCCTTGGGCACACATAGGTTGAGATAGGGGCCATTTAGTTCAGTAAGGTTGTATTGACTTACATGGGGCTGTGCATCATTGACTTTACATGACTCATGTAATAATAATAATAATAATGAGCAATATTCGAATTGGTTGTGACGTTATTGGCCACCACGTGATCTCTCACTGGTCCCCACGTGGCCCGTTTTGGTCCATTAGATCATGACGTCATAATGTCAAAATGTTTTGTTATTTGTTTACACAACAATCCTACGGTTGCCGTGACGTTGTGATCACTAAGGAACCAATAAACCAAAGCTATATTTTGTATATGACGTTACTAATCACGTGAGGGCCAATTTGATTGATCAGTTAGTTTTATTTCGTTATCTATGACCGTTAGCAGTTATCTAACATTTATTTTATAATAGCTATCGCAAGAACTCTACATTGGGCTTACAATGGAGAAAACCGCATTTTTGTAGCTGCAAGTTGAGAAAAGCTATTTCAGTTGTCCTTTAATTAGCACCCAGGGCGTTCAAAAATTAAAAAAAACATCATTCAGACCATTCTAATAAACGCCCATGTATGAAAGAAATCAGAAATCCCGAGGAATTTCATGTATGGCAATTTTTCATGAAGGCCTTATTTTCAACATATTTTTATAATAATGATAAGTATTGTTATTTTAGAGAATACGGTAAAGATCGCTTAGACAATATTGACAGTGTTTGAAGACCAATTATTTCCGGCACGCCCACTTTGTCATTATCACCGATTACCTTCAATATTTCCACTAGAGACTTCGGATATCGATCTAAAGTTAAACCTCATTTTTAATTTGATGAGAGATCATCATTTTTCGTGTATAAGTCATGAAAAAGTCTGAATACTGAATGCCGATTAAGAACAATTCCTTCATTCATTATGGACTATTCTGAGACAATATTAGCAATGTATGGTGTGGGAAGCACCCATTGATAGATATTTATGGAGAGGATGCATAGAATTATAAAACGTGAGTTTAGGGTAAGCACTCTATTATCGCCCGCTCATGGATTTTCGAAAATATGATTTTTTCTGATAGATTCTTCGATTCTTGTTGATTCCTCAATGTTTCTTGAACTTTGTGAAGCGGGGTGGGCGCTTATTAGAGGGTGGGTTGTAATTACAGAGAATACGGTAGAACAATAAAATATTGGTAAGTTTTAAACCCAAGAGAGTTTCATATTTTAGAAAGCCTAGACAAAAGATCAAATTAAAGATGACTCTATATAATGCATTAGTATGACCTTTATGGGAGGAATTACCTGCATTGCCTCTAATGCCTTCTCCAATCCCTGTCTGTCTTCATGCATTTTGTCCGTCTGCTTCACCAACTCCTGTTACAAAGCATTATGGGAAATAATTAGACAATACCATTTCAATCTCGCAATGGAATATGAATACTTGATTCTATAAAGGACAAAATGTATGGTGGTATCTAAACCTATTTTCATTGACTAAGAGAGACAAACCCAAGTGTGAACTCAATATCCAAGATGACAAGATATAATTTGGATATCATTCTCAAAGCATTTAAGTTTTACTTTCACTCTAAAGTCACATCTCAGCTTTATTTTCAGCTATTTATATTCACATTTCATCTTATTTCAACTTTATCCATTCTTTGATGATAGATGATACACAGGACATAAATGTATCCCATCTGTACTTACTCTCAGGAGTAGATGGTACTTAAGTACCCTCTGCATTGGCACAGATAGTAAGTCCCTTAATCTGAACTTTCCATCATTTGCATCTTTTTGACATTTCTGCAAACAAGTAAATGCATTTTAAATTGATATATTTCAACCATTCATATCTGTGACTTTCTCAACCTTGCAAATTCCACTCTTAGCCACTTACAATGACAATTACAACATTTCTCTAACAATGGCAATTATAACATTTCCCTCACTAAGAGTGACAATTACAACATTTCTCTCACAATGGCAATTATAACATTCCCCTCACTAAGAGTGACAATTACAACATTTATCTCACTTACAATTACAACATTTATCTCACTTACAATTACAACATTTCTCTAACAATGACAATTACAACATTTCTCTAACAATGACAATTACAACATTTCTCTCGCTAACATTGACAATTACAACATTTCTCTAACAATGACAATTACAACATTTCTCTCACAATGACAATTACAACATTTCTCTCACAATGACAATTACAACATTTCTCTCACAATGGCAATTATAACATTTCCCTCGCTAAGAGTGTCAATTAACATTTATGACAATTACAACATTTATCTCACTTACAATTACAACATTTATCTCACTTACAATTACAACATTTCTCTAACAATGACAATTACAACATTTCTCTCACAATAACAATTATAACATTTCCCTCACTAAGAGTGACAATTACAACATTTATCTCACTTACAATTACAACATTTCTCTAACAATGACAATTACAACATTTCTCTCACAATGACAATTACAACATTTCTCTCACAATGACAATTACAACATTTCTCTCACAATGGCAATTATAACATTTCTCTAACAATGACAATTACAACATTTCTCTCACAATGACAATTACAACATTTCTCTCACAATGACAATTACAACATTTCTCTAACAATGACAATTACAACATTTCTCTCGGTTACATTGACAATTTACAACATTTCTCTAACAATGACAATTACAACATTTCTCTCACAATAACAATTATAACATTTCCCTCACTAAGAGTGACAATTACAACATTTATCTCACTTACAATTACAACATTTCTCTCACAATGACAATTACAACATTTCTCTCGGTTACATTGACAATTACAACATTTCTCTAACAATGACAATTACAACATTTCTCTCACAATAACAATTATAACATTTCCCTCACTAAGAGTGACAATTACAACATTTATCTCACTTACAATTACAACATTTCTCTCACAATGACAATTACAACATTTCTCAAACAATGACAATTACAACATTTCTCTCGGTTACATTGACAATTACAACATTTCTCTCACTTACAATGACAATTAAAACATTTCCCCCATCGCAATTACAACATTTCTCTTACAATGACATTACAACATATCTCTCACTTACAATGACACTCTGATTGATCATTTCATCTTTCTTTGTCAATGTGTCAATTTGTTCCTGGGCTTGTGGTAAGTTGGCACAAAACTGTCCATATATGAGGAACTGCTTCTTCCATTTGATGAAGCAATCACTTATTTTCATTTTACTGCTTGAGTTCATACTGCATGCTTTGTTTAAATCATTGTAAAACCCTGCGTGGACTGTGGCCAAATCCTGAAATAATAACAAAAGTAATGTGATTATATTGATGATCAGATCATAGAATGATGAATGCACACCATAATAAGTGTAAATAAGAGTTTTAGTCGTGATACATTAAAGTCATTTGTATAAGCCATAGCATATCATTCAGTGAACCTTTCCAAGTTATACTTTGAACATTTCCACAATACCCTACCAAGCGGCTACGATTAAAAGGGATATGGGCGACAGTCAAGTTGCAAATGGAGAAAGTTTGTGTATTTCCATATTTCTGAAGGTATCCTAGATTTTACATGCTCCATTTGCACCTTGACTGTAGCCTGTGTTTTAAACATTGTCACATGGTAGGGTGGTTTGATTTCATATGTAGCATGAACTACTATAACAAAACCTGTATATCTAAAAACCTCTTTAATCTGAACACTTATTAAAGAAAAACACTATTTTAAGTCCTATCCTAGTTCTTATGTGTTCATACTTTCAGATGAGTGTTCATGTTATGAGTTGTCAGCTCTAGAGAATGTTCTTGTATATAGGTTTTACTTTTAGCAGTTTTATTACATCAAACTCAATTCAGAAATATGATTTGAATGAAGTGTGTTCAATTATGAATTATTAGGAGGCCCTTTGAAAGAGGCCATTTATAGCTTTCTTATTTAGATGTTCTTATTTACTATTAATATTGAATTATCATTCTATCAAAGCATTTTTTATAGCACCATTGGGCCGTTATTGTAATAAGTTTTTCTCCTACTTCCTGGTTAAAGGAAAGAACTAATTGCTTCTATCAGGGACCTTGGTCGAAATGTGTGAAATGAGGATTTCTGTATACGGATAGACATTAGTGTTCTAATAGTTATAGTTTTTTGCTGTTTTGACAGATTTTGAGATATTTAAAGTCAAAAAGGTATTTTTCAACTTGCTTTAAATTGACAAAATTTTTAAAAATCATCTACAAGTTGCCAGGAGTCCATTGAAAAATGTATCATTGTATGCATATTTTGAGCTTATCCCTTAGTATGCTGCATTAGGGACCATGTCAACATTTTAATTTTGTGGAAGTACATTCATATTTTGATCTTATCCCTTAGTAGCATATAACTCATAGACCTTATGTCATTGTATGCTGTATTAGGGACCATGTCAACATTTCAATTTTGTGGAAGTACATTCATATTTTGACCTTATCCCTTAATGGCATATAACTCATAGACCTTATGTCATTGTATGCTGTATTAGGGACCAAGCAAGTTCAAGCAAGTTGAAAAATACCCTTTTCACTTTTTTTTATCTTGGGAAGATTATTGATGGTCAAATCTCAAATCTTAGTCAGATTTAAACTTCTGAGAACTCGTAGATGATTTTGAAGAAATTATTTAATCAATTTGAAGCAAGTTGAAAAAACACCTTTTGACCTTTTTTAATCTAAAGACCTTTTTGACCTTTTTTAACTTGAGAAGGTCATTAATGGTTAAATTTCAAATCTAAAATCAGATTTGAATTTCTGAGAAGTTGTAGATGATTTAGAAAAAACAAGGCACAGGACGTGAACGAGATCACACCATCAAATAGGCAGACACTATGAACCAGGAAAACTGTTCTCCTATTATGTTTACAAATTTCAAGAACAAGAAAACAAGATGGCCGCCCAAAAGTTAATCAGCTCTAGTACTTGATATCCTCTATCATTTGTGTAAATTTGAAGGAAATCCGATGAGCGGTTTTCCTGAAATGGCGATGACAAGATTTTTAGAAAAACCTTCAAAATGGCCACCAGAAAACAAGATGGCCACCAAAAAGTTAATCAGCTCTAGTACTTGATATCCTCTATCATTTGTGTAAGTTTGAAAGAAATCCGATGAGCGGTTTTCCTGAAATGGCGATGACAAGATTTTTAGAAAAACCTTCAAAATGGCCACCAGAAAACAAGATGGCCGCCCAAAAGTTAATCAGCTCTAGTACTTGATATCCTCTATCATTTGTGTAAATTTGAACGAAATCCAATGAGCGGTTTTCCTGAAATGGCGATGACAAGATTTTTCGAAAAACCTTCAAAATGGCCGCCAGAAAACAAGATGGCCACCCAAAAGTTAATCAGCTCTAGTACTATGGAGAAAATCTGATGAGCAGTTTTCCTAAAACAGCGATGACAAAAAGCGGGACGATCATGACCACGATCACGACCAGTATGACGACTATATCCCACCGATGGTGTGATAAAAACTTTTGGTCAATTTGAAGCAATACTTTTCTGACTTTTTTGACCTTGAGAAGGTCATTGAAGGTCAAATCTCAAATCTATAGTCAGATTTGAACTCGTAGCTGATTTTGAAAAAAAATCAATCAATTTGAACTTCTGAGAACTCACAGATGATTTTGAAGAAAACATTTAATCAATTTGAAGCAAGACCTGTCTGACCTTTTTTACCTTGAAAATGTCATTGAAGGTCAAATCTTAAATATAAAGTCAGATTTGAACTTCTGGAAACATGTAGATGAAAAAATTGAAGTCAGTCTAAAACAGTTTTTGTTAAGTTATTGGAAGTTAAGAATTTGTTACACACGCCAACCAAATTTGTTACAGATGCCAACCACCAACCGCCGTCACAAAAATGGAGACTATAACAATATGTCGCCACTTTTTGGTGGTGACATAATAGAATGGGACCACTCTCTATAGTCAGCAATGTTGAAAGACAAATTCAGGTCAATCTTGACTTATTTGATACAAAAATGTGGTATGCACTTAGCTTTTTTTTATGCTTTTTTTCTTGCTAAGTTCCATTACAACTTTTGGGCCTTTCCCTTTGGCACTAGTGCTTATATATATTTTTTTTTCTCGGTTCAAGTTTCAAATGGGTTTCCAGGTTGTTTCTTGCCTTTTCAAAATCACAAGTGTGCACAGTCAGACCAATTTGCATCAATGCTTTCATAAGGGGGTACAGTCAGTGTGCATTTGTTTCAATGTTATCTCAATTGGGTACAGTCAGTGCCCATATGCTTAAATGCTATCTCAAGTTTGTAAAGTCAGTGCCCACCTGCTCCAATGCTATCACAAGTGGGTACAGTCAGTGCCGACTTGCTTCAATGCTATCACAAGTGGGTACAGTCAGTGCCGATTTGCTTCAATGCTATCACAAGTGGGTACAGTCAGTGCTGATTTGCTTCAATGCTATCACAAGTGGGTACAGTCAGTGCCCATATGCTTAAATGCAATCTCAAGTTTGTAAAGTCAGTGCCCACTTGCTTCAATGCTATCACAAGTGGGTACAGTCAGTGCCGACTTGCTTCAATGCTATCACAAGTGGTACAGTCAGTGCCGATTTGCTTCAATGCTATCACAAGTGGGTACAGTCAGTGCCGATTTGCTTCAATGCTATCACAAGTGGGTACAGTCTGTGCCGATATGCTTCAATGCTATCTCAGGTGGGTACAGTCAGTGCCGATTTGCTTCAATGCTATCACAAGTGGGTACAGTCAGTGCCGATTTGCTTCAATGCTATCACAAGTGGGTACAGTCAGTGCCGATTTGCTTCAATGCTATCACAAGTGGGTACAGTCAGTGCCGATTTGCTCCAATGCTATCTCAAGTTTGGAAATTCAGTGCCCACTTGCTTCAATACTATCACAAGTGGGTAAAGTTAGTGCCCACTTGCTTCAATGCTATCACAAGGAGACACAGTCAAGGCCCATTTGTTTCAATGCTATCACAAGTGGGTACAGTCAGTGCAAATTTGCTTCAATGCTATCACAAGTGGGTACAGTCAGTGCCGATTTGCTCCAATGCTATCTCAAGTTTGTAAAGTCAGTGCCCACTTGCTTCAATGCTATCACAAGGAGACACAGTCAAGGCCCATTTGTTTCAATGCTATCACAAGTGGGTAAAGTCAGTGCCCACTTGCTCCAATGCTATCACAAGTGGGTACAGTCAGTGCCCACTTGCTTCAATGCTATCACAAGTAGGTACAGTCATTGCCGATATGCTTCAATGCTATCACAAGTGGGTACAGTTAGTGCCCATATGCTTCAATGCTATAACAAGTGGGTAAAGTCAGTGCCGATTTGCTTCAATGCTATCTCAAATGGATACAGTCAGTGCCCACTTGCTTCAATGCTATCACAAGTGGGTACAGTCAGTGCCCTTAAGCTTCAATACATCTCAAGTGGGTACAGTCAGTGCCCATATGCTTCAATGCTATCACAAGTGGGTACAGTCAGTGCCTATATGCTTAAATGCTATCACAGGTGGGTACAGTCAGTGCACATATGCTTCAGTGGTATCACAAGTGGGTACAGTCAGTGCCCACTTGCTTCAGTGGTATCACAAGTGGGTACAGTCAGTGCCCTTAAGCTTCAATGCTATCTCAAGTGGATACAGTCAGTGCCCACTTGCTTCAATTCGATCTCAAGTGGGTACAGTCAGTGTCCATATGCTTCAATGCTATAACATGTGGGTAGTCGGTGCCCATATGCTTCAATGCTATCACAAGTGGGAACAGTCAAGGCCCATTTAATTCAATGCTATCTCAAGTGGGTACAGTCAGTGCCCACTTGCTTCAATGCTATCAAATGTGGGTACAGTCAGTGCCCACTTGCTTCAATGCTATCATAAGTGGATACAGTCAGTGCCTACTTGCTTCAATGCTATCAAATGTGGGTACAGTCTGTGCCTATTTGCTTCAATGCTATATCAAGTGGGTACAGTCAGTGCCTTCTTGCTTCAATGCTATCAAATGTGGGTACAGTCTGTGCCCATTTGCTTCAATGCTATATCAAGTGGGTACAGTCAGTGCCCACTTGCTTCAATGCTATCACAAGTGGATACAATCAGTGCCCACTTGCTTCAATGCTATCACAAGTGGGTACAGTCAGTGCCCACTTGCTTCAATGCTATCACAAGTGGGTACAGTCATTGCCGATATGCTTCAATGCTATCACAAGTGGGTACAGTCTATGCCCATATGGTTCAATGCTATCACAAGTGGATACAGTCAGTGCCTACTTGCTTCAATGCTATCAAATGTGGGTACAGTCTGTGCCCATTTGCTTCAATGCTATATCAAGTGGGTGCAGTCAGTGCCCACTTGCTTCAATGCTATCACAAGTGGATACAATCAGTGCCCACTTGCTTCAATGCTATCACAAGTGGGTACAGTCAGTGCCCACTTGCTTCAATGCTATCAAATGTGGGTACAGTCAGTGTCCATATGCTTCAATGCTATCACAAGTGGGTACAGTCAGTGTCCATATGCTTCAATGCTATAACATGTGGGTACAGTCAGTGCCCATTTGTTTCAATGCTATCTCAAGCTGGTACAGTCAGTGCCCACTTGCTTCAATGCTATCAAATGTGGGTACAGTCAGTGCCCACTTGCTTCAATGCTATCACAAGTGGATACAATCAGTGCCCACTTGCTTCAATGCTATATCAAGTGGATACAATCAGTGCCCACTTGCTTCAATGCTATCAAAAGTGGGTACAGTCAGTGCCCACTTGCTTCAATGCTATCAAATGTGGGTACAGTCAGTGCCCACTTGCTTCAATGCTATATCAAGTGGATACAATCAGTGCCCACTTGCTTCAATGCTATCACAAGTGGGTACAGTCAGTGCCCACTTGCTTCAATGCTATATCAAGTGGATACAATCAGTGCCCACTTGCTTCAATGCTATCACAAGTGGGTACAGTCAGTGCCCACTTGCTTCAATGCTATCAAATGTGGGTACAGTCAGTGTCCATATGCTTCAATGCTATCACAAGTGGGTACAGTCAGTGTCCATATGCTTCAATGCTATAACATGTGGGTACAGTCAGTGCCCATTTGCTTCAATGCTATAACATGTGGGTACAGTCAGTGCCCATTTGTTTCAATGCTATCACAAGTGGGTATACTCAGTGTTCATATGCTTCAATGCTATAACAAGTGGGTACAGTCAGTGCCCTTTGTTTCAATGCTATCTCAAGTGGGTACAGTCAGTGTCCATATGCTTCAATGCTATAAGAAGTGGGTACAGTCAGTGCCCATTTGCTTCAATGCTGTCTCAAGTGGGTACAGTCAAGGCCCATTTGTTTCAATGCTATCACAAGTGGATACAGTAAGTGCCCACTTGCTTCAATATGCTTCAATGCTATAACAAGCGGGTACAGTCAGTGCCCATTTGTTTCAATGCTATCTCAAGTGGGTACAGTCAGTGTCCATATGCTTCAATGCTATAAGAAGTGGGTACAGTCAGTGCCCATTTGCTTCAATGCTGTCTCAAGTGGGTACAGTCAAGGCCCATTTGTTTCAATGCTATCACAAGTGGATACAGTAAGTGCCCACTTGCTTCAATGCTATCACAAGTGGGTACAGTCAGTGCCCATTTGCTTCAATGCTGTCTCAAGTGGGTACAGTCAAGGCCCACTTTCTTCAATGCTATCTCAAGTGGGTACAGCCAGTGCCCATTTGCTTCAATGCTATCTCAAGTGGATACAGTCAGTGCCCACTTGCTTCAATGTTATCTCAATTGGGTACAGTCAGTGCCCATATGCTTAAATGCTATCTCAAGTTTGTAAAGTCAGTGCCCACTTGCTCCAATGCTATCACAAGTGGGTACAGTCCATGCTGATTTGCTTCAATGCTATCTCAAGTGGGTACAGTCTGTGCCGATTTGCTTCAATGCTATCACAAGTGGGTACAGTCCATGCCGATTTGCTTCAATGCTATCACAAGTGGGTACAGTCAGTGCTGATTTGCTTCAATGCTATCACAAGTGGGTACAGTCAGTGCCGATTTGCTTCAATGCTATCTCAAGTGGGTACAGTCCGTGCCGATTAGCTTCAATGCTATCACAAGTGGGTACAGTCAGTGCCGATTTGCTTCAATGCTATCACAAGTGGGTACAGTCAGTGCTGATTTGCTTCAATGCTATAACAAGTGGATACAGTCTGTGCCCATATGATTCAATGCTATCTCAAGTGGCTAAAGTCAGTGCCGATTTGCTGCACTGACTGTACCCACTTGAAACAAATGGGCACTGACTGTACCCACTTTTTAATTTATAGAGTAATGCATAAGGCTATAAAACCTGAATCAAATCCGTTTACGAGTGTTTGAGTTATTGCCCGGACAGACAGATGGATGGCTTCTCGATATCCCTCCAAAACTGTTCGATGGGATAATTAAAGATAATATGGGTAATATAGATTAACATACAGGTAACACACAATTTTAGGGTCATAAGCTAAATAAATACACACAGGGTGGTAAAAAATGGAGACCCTGCATTTTCCTCATATTTTTGTCATTTTTAGAAACTACTCCCTGATATTTCACACATTTGTGAAACATTCAATCTTTTCTGTAACACTGTAACTATCAATATGATGGTCATGAAATAAGGTAGGCAGGTAGGAATTTGAGTCATGTACAAATGTGTAAAGTTATGTCTTGAAATGACAAAGATATTTGGAAAACGGTGTAAGGGTTTCCAGTTTTTTGACCACTTCAAAGCATAGTGAACCATAAGCTAAATCAAGATACTAGAACTAGAGTGCGATACCCATAAGCTATAATGAAATGATTTAAAATCTTTGAAATATCACTATAATTACAGTTACAGGATCCATAAAGACCACTCCTACATGTACATTTCAGAACTTGTATAACTAACAATTGTATCATGAATACAAGATCACACCCCAATATATTTTCAAATTCTGAAATTGCATTTTTAATAAGATTTTTACGCTCATGTGGCAAATAAATGGTCTTTGAACCTTTCAGTGGAATTCACTTGTATTTCCCTATAATTGAGCAACTCCATATCTTGTTTCTCTGCTTTATATTCAATCCTGTTTTAGAAGTGTAACCATGGTGATATTTCATAAATGGAAAGCTACCTTCTCACAACAGCGTGTTAGTTCACTCAGGAACCCAGTGTGGACATTTAGTAGTTCCTGACAACATTCATATTAATTTATTGAAAAAATATAAAACATATTTTCAATCTGATACACAGCCCCAATAACAAGAACCAATTGCATTCGGGACTGTCAATAGATGGGGCTAAATTCAGTGGGTTAAAACAAATAAGGGTAACATTATAAAGAGACAGGTATATATAAACTTGATTAATATATTATGACATTAGTTTTAGGAGAGCAGAATTCTATGAAAACAGGACAGATTACTTGGGGCAATGTATTAGACCAAACACATGAAATGTTAACAGAAAAGGATAGGTATCGATATGGAGAACTGAATCCAACAATGTTTATCTCTTAAACGAATCATTGAAAATATTCTGTAAAAAAAAGGTATTTTATGTAATGTTGACTGATTGACAACAATTTAATGCGAAAATTATTTAGAAATATTTTATATAACTGTTTTTGTTAACATTTTTTGTTTTTTAGTGCAATTGTTTTTGCTCCTTTCTACCAATTCTTGAGAATGAAATAAAATGTCTTTCCGAATCTTGTTGGAACAAAATAGCATATACAACATGTTTTTAGACCTCTCAATATTAAAGTTATACAAAGGAATTTTTGGTTGATTTTAAAAAACTATTCAAAAAATTAAAACAAAATCCCCCCAAAATAGATAAAAATCAAGAAAAACCGTTTATTTCATTAACCAGATACTTTTTTAAAATCAACCAAAATTTCCTTTGTACAATTACAATATTGAGAGACCTAAACATATTGTGTTTATGTCATTTTGTTCCAACGAGGTTCGGAAAGATGTTTCATTTCACTCTGGAAACATACCAAGAACAAAACAAGTGTTTGATGTGTTTTTTAAAACAATATAGATGAAAGTATGTACATGTATATCTATTTCAAATTGTATTGTAACCATTCAAAAGATGGCCATTAAATTGACATTTTGTAAGATTTTCAGAAATTTTTGATGACTGGTTTAAGAGAAACGTGTGTTCAAAAAGTTCCCCATATCGATACCCATTCTTTGGCATTTTATTTATGTTAAGAGATCAGATGATAAAATAACTTGTTTAAAACCATAAACATATAAGGTTAACATAACTGGAAGTAAATAGCAATAAAAATTCAACACTACAGCATATCTAACGTCATGCACTAATACTACATTTACAAAATTAAGTGTCATTCATGGCAGAACATCTATGTAAAAATTTTAACGTCAATCAATGAGTAAATCAAAGGAATGATTAGAAATTAATATGATTAATTCTGAAGAGTCCTGTTCAGTAATTTTCAATGGCCCTAGCCAAGTTTCACATATAATATTTAATGTCACCAATTCTAACAAAAAAACAGCAACTCCACGGAGTAGCAAATCCCACGGAACAAAACAAATTCTTTTAATAATTACAGTGGAGATGCTAGGCTCAATTGCCGTATAATGCGGAGATTATAGCGCCATACGACAATTGCCGCATTATACGACAATTTTATGTAAACGCTTAAAATTTGAATTTCAAATACTTTACTGAATGAAATACAATCAGGGTTCTGCAGGTTTTTATGGTGTCAGAGATGGCTCAAAATTCAATGTTAGTTTCACATTTGACATATTTTAAATAGTCAAAATATATTTTAAAACATCAAATAAGAAAATATATTTCAAATTGAAAAAAATCTGTTATCAAAGCAATTTTTTCAAAAACATCAAATAAGGAAAAAAATTCAAAGTAAATGTTGAGAACTTCAAATTAGAAAAACGTATGTTGAATAAGAAAAAATAATGTTAAATTCAATGTTCAAAGCAATAATTACACGACCTCAAACCAACTTTTATCTACAACTTTTATACATATCATGTTTGAACTTTTCATTTTGGTATTTGATGTATACATTTTTCTTATTCAAACTTTCAATTTTTCTATTCAAACAGTTTGGCATTTCTTATTTTTCAATTAAAACTGTTCGGCATTTTGCGCATGCGCATTATATCAATCGTTTACTCCTGGAGTCGGATAAATGTGAGAACTAGATTTTCTATTATTTTTCTGAAATTACGTATGTGTAATGGTATAATATCTGGAATGCCAAACTCAAGAATGCCGAACTGTTTGAATGGGAAAGCAGCTTGCAAGTGTTAATTTCTTAGTTCGAACTTTTGTATAATTTTGGTTCGAACATTTTATCATTTGGGTTTGAACTATCGCTTCGAAAATTGAAGGAATTTATTTGGAATTTTTAGTTTAATCTTTTTGAATCCTAAAAATTGAACATCAAAGCTATTATCGATCTAACCCTACTATCACACCAAACTAGTTCTCACTACGTTCTCGAAAACGGGCTTCAACTGTGTACGAACGGACTGGACCTACTAAGAACCGTTTGGGATCTATTTAGAAACTTCATCGAACGTACTCGAACGGGTAGGTCCTCTAGAACTTAGACAATGCTCAAAATGCACTCGTGGTCGTCATGTTCTACAATTAGAACAAGTGACAACGTACTAACGACGAGCTGGACGTACTACGAACGGAACCGTTGTACTTCAATCCTGCTAGGGACGTTTTAACAACGAGTTGAACTGTCTGAGGACGTGTTGAGAACGAGGTAGAACTAATTGCAAACGGGTTTAAACTGATTAAGAACGTATTTAACACTGCTTATGAACGAGTTAGCAAAAATATAGCTATCACACCAAACAAGTTGCCACTGCGTTCTTCAAAACTGGTTTGAAACTGTGTGCGAATGGAATGAACGTAGCTGCAACTTTCTAAGGTCTATTTACGAACTTTATGAACGTTCTCAGACGGGAATGTGATTTTAGAATTTTGAATCGATTCAAAGTTCGATGGCGACCATGCCGTTCTGTAATCAGGTCATGTTGATCTTCTAGACTAAGGGACGCGTTCTACGACGTTGTACACCGACTTGGTGCGACCTGAACGAACTGAGAACGAGATGGACGTATTGAAGACTGTTTAAGGACGAAGAAGCTAATTATTTCAGACATATTTCCCGACCACAGCCAGATTGAGCCCGTTTTACGACGTTTTCGTAGGACTGGCAAGAACGGGTAAGAACTAGTTTGGTGTGATAGGGGGGTTACGATGAAGGATTTTCTCAGTGTTTGACATCTTGATTTTTGGTGTTTGGTGTTTGATTTTCCCCTTTGAAGCTGTTTTTCGCAGTTTGATAGATGTGTATTTTCTCCGTTAAAATATCAAACACTGAAGATTTACTTTTTAAACAACATTACTAAAATTGAATAAAAACTTTGAAAGTTTGAATTAAAAAGTGTAATATCAAATAAAAATATGTATTATCAAACTTAGAATTGAAAAAATTGGACAAAAATTTAAAAGTTTGAATTGATAAATGAAAATTCAAACAAGAATATAAAATTTGAACCAAATCTGTTCACTGGTATTTGAGTTATCAAAGATTACATTTTTTACGAAAAATGGCGTCTATTTAAAAGTTCAGCAGCCATTTAAAATTGAGTGGCCATATTTAAAATTCCTTCTCGAGCAGCGGTCCTACTCTCATAAGGCATGTACCTATAAAAGTTGAATGAGATCAGTCAACCAGTATTTGAGTTATTGCCCGGACACACAAACAGATGGCTTCTCTCTATCCCCCTCGAACTTTGTTGGGTGGGATAATAATGAGATTACATAATTCCAGGACATCACATTGATTCATTAACCCTCCTCAGACTGAAGACAACATTTTCATCAATTTTAACTTCCCATGGTCACATTGAATGCACTTGGAGAAGCCTAACCTCCAAACTTAATGTGATAATTCATGCAATAAGGACTTTATTTAAGAGATGTAGATTGATAAACTAGTAAAGTCAAAAACACATTATAAAATAATAGCAGACCATGGGTTAAAGTCAGTGAAATATGTTTTTTTCTGCATAACAGACAACTGAATTGAAGATCTGTAACTTTATGAGAATTTTTGAAAAATTGAAACCAGCTGCTAAATGTTGACCGTTGCTCCTTTGTACTTTTTATAATAATTCCAAAATCCATTAACATTCAAAATTATTTCCATTTTAGCAGGGTTAGCCTAGGACCCTGGAAAGAAAGGAAACAATATGAAAGCAGCATGACATTTGACCTGAGTTCAACCAATCAAAGACTGAGAAACATAACATATGACTTGTGTTCAACCAATCAAAGACTGAGAAACATAACATATGACTTGTGTTCAACCAATCAAAGACTGAGAAACATAACATATGACTTGTGTTCAACCAATCAAAGACTGAGAAGCATAACATATGACTTGTGTTCAACCAATCAAATATCATGAGCATCAAGAGTTTGTTCTTACCTCAATGTGACAGAATATGATTTCCCGGTCTGCAGGCTGAAGTACATTCTTTAATTGTTTAATGAAATGCTGAAAAATAAGACACTTCTTGGTCACTGCAAACCAAAAGGACATATTTGTATTAGAAATTCATAACTCTAAGGGGCGGGGTCAAAATATCGATGTTCATATGGAGACGAAAGTACTTTCGCGAGGGGGGGAGGGGGTTTTAGGGCACTTTGGTTGACCAAAAAAACATCGATAATTCGGATCTGATATACAAAAAATAATTGGACTTACCCACTTTTTCTGGCGCTATGTTCTGATAAAAAGGCTTGTTTTCAATAGTTCGTGAGCTTTTTTGTGTGATAGGTCCAAAATATCGGTAGATAAAGACGATAATTCGATCATTTTTCAAATAAATTCCGTACTTTTCCCTCCTCCTCCTTTTGAAGAGTTCAATGCAGTTAAATTGCCAACGTGTGTTAATTCACCGTAATAATAACCCAGCAATCAATCAAAATCAATGTTTTTTTGAAGTGACCTAAGCTTTCGTCTAGAGGGGGGGGTGGGGGGGTTGTTGTCCAAACGAAATTACTTTCGTCTCCATATGAACATTGATATTTTGACCCCGCCCCTAAGAAGTAGGAAATCTCAATGAATCTCATAAAAAATTCTGAATCAACTGTCATTTTGAAAAAATCAATCAAACAATATCGTATGTTATATGTTCATAAAAAATAATTTCCATTTTGTTTGAGGCACAAACGTATGAGATTCAACTGGAATGAATCCATCAAACAGTATTTAAGTTATACCCAAAACAGTTTTTTTCTCTTGAAATCTCTGAAATCTCTAATAGAGCTAAATCCACCTGTTATACAGAAAAGAATGATATAAACAAATGTAACTGTTTTGGGATAATCAAACTAATTTTCCACTTACTGTACAAATCATGTTAAGTGCATCAACATAATTCTTTTCAGTCTCTACGAGTTCTTTGATACAATAATCTCTCTTTGATTTTGGCTCTAGATTTCCCTGGAACAAAATTGAGATAATACATTATTCATTTTGTCCTATATGCTATATATAGAGTGTACATCTCTACAATCAATCATCCTAACAAGCTCATGAATATCATTTTGAACTTCATAGTTGATATTGTTAGAATATAAATCATAGATGAATCTTATTCCTTCTTACTGCAACTCTGATATATTCTAAGAACAAAATAATAAAAAACTATATTGATAATATTAACAAAGTTGTTGATTTTCTTTCTCAGAGATATTTATTTTTCATTTGACGTTTCGTAGGATGTTCATCCTACTTCTTCAGAAATAAAATTAGATTTGAATCAAACTGAAATAATTAATAATTACATATCAATGAGACAAATAGCAACCATTAAGATATAAAACTTCAATGATGTTACAATTAATTAATTCATTAATTAATTATTTCTGTTTGATTCAAATATAATTTCATTTCTGAAGGAGAAGAATGGACATCCTACGAAACGTCAAAAGAAAAATAAATATCTCTGAGAAGGACCAATTAGATACCTGGTTCAAACTGGTAGATAAATCAGGGCTACCAGGAAAATACAAGGCATGGATATACCAGCATGGAATACTGCCTCGAATATTATGGCCACTTCTCGTGTATGCAGTGCCAATGACAACAGTGGAGATGTTAGAGAGGAAAACAAACAAATACCTACGGAAGTGGTTTGGAGTACCAAAAAGCTTCAGCAGCTCAGGATTTTATGGAGAATCAAACATGCTTCACCTACCAATCAAATCAATGACAGAAGAATACAAGGTAACCAAAGTCAGGAAGATTGTGATGATAAGGAATGCCAAAGACACCAAGATTTCAAAGAGCAGCACCCATGAGAAAACAGGAAGGAAGTGGAATGCTGAAGAGGAGCTAACAAGAGCAGAGGACAGGCTCAAGCAAAAAGTTCTAGTAGGGCGGGTAGCCAAAGGGAGACAGGGTTTAGGATTTGGATCAAAACCTCTATGGAATGAAGCAACAGACCGTGAAAAGAGAGATCTGATCCAGCTAGAAGTAAGAGAGAGCCTCGAGGAAGACCGAAGAGTTAAGGCTATTGAGATGAAGAAACAAGGTAAATGGATGAAATGGGAAGGCGTTAGAGAAAGAAAACTAACTTGGAATGATCTATGGAAGGAGCAGCCACAAACTATTAGTTTTCTGCTTAAAGCAACATATGACGTCTTACCTACACCATCCAATCTAGTCACTATGGGGCTAGCAGAGACTGCAGAGTGCCCATTATGTGGGGCAGTATCAAACCTAAAGCACATCATGTCAGCCTGTAGGAAAGGATTAGCAGATGGAAGGTTCAGGTGGAGACATGACCAAGTCCTGAAGGAGTTAGCACAGGTCATTGAGACAGAGAGGAGGAAAAAGCACAAGAAACCAGGAACCCAATATATCAACTTCATTAAAGCAGGAGAAGGCATAACAAAGGAAGTAAGGAAACCTACTGGAATTCTACACACAGCAAATGACTGGACCCTCATGGTGGACCTTGAGAAACAGCTAAAATTCCCGGAGGAAGTAGTGGAAACCTCACTAAGGCCAGACATAGTGTTGTGGTCAAAATCATCAAAGCATATAGTGCTAATAGAACTAACAGTGCCATGGGAGGAAAACATACAGGAAGCTCAAGAAAGGAAGCGAGAAAAATATGCAGAATTAGTGGAGCAGTGTGGGAACAAGGGATATACAGCCAGATGTGAACCGGTAGAGGTTGGCTGTCGAGGGTTTGCAGGACAATCCCTCTGGAGAACATTAGGACTATTAGGAATAAATGGCAATACAAGGAAGCAAGCAATTGGAAGTATTACAAGAATAGCAGAGAAAGCATCAAAATGGCTCTGGATCAAAAGAGCAGATGACTGGAAAACAAAATAAACATTACTAATAGAAGTATTGAGCTTGAGAAGCACACACTTGTCCCACACCACTTTGGTGGGGTCACCTGGTAGAGTTATACAATGTTGAAAGACCCGAAATAACAATGAAACCAGGCACATTGCTGATGATGGGACAAGTGCATACAGTAACACCAGAGTATGTTTGTCAAAAGAAAGAAAATCAACAACTTTGTTAATAGTACATTACTACCAGAGAGAAGAACATTCATAGAAGTATATTGATATTGATATTGTCACAGTTTGACAATAATATTACTTGTAACCTAGTCAAACGTTATTTTTGTATTATTGTATGTATAGTATATATATATGAAATAAATGATTAAAAAAAAAATTGATATGCAGATTCTATGGAGTTACCGCATTGCTATCACTGGCATTTCTAAGACTTCTGTATCAACAATATACTTGAATTCTGATGTACATACACCGACCCACTTTACCAACCTTTTTTAGGATGTCAGAGTATGATGTTATGGTTTCTTATACACTCACTCTAGAACTTTAATTTAAATACATACTCACTATAGATCTTGATGGTCTGCGTCGCTTTTGCATATTACACAAATCATTTTATATGTATTCTCTAATATTATATACTCACTATAGAACTTGATGGTCTGCGTTGCTTTTGCATGCTTCACAAATCATTGTATATGTATTCTCTAATATTATATACTCACTATAGAACTTGATGGTCTGCGGCGCTTTTGCATATTACACAAATCATTGTATATGTATTCTCTAATATTATATACTCACTATAGAACTTGATGGTCTGTGTCGCTTTTGCATGCTTCACAAATCATTGTATATGTATTCTCTAATATTATATATTCACTATAGAACTTGATGGTCTACGTTGCTTTTGCATATTACACAAATCAATGTATATGTATTCTCTAATATTATATATTCACTATAGAACTTGATGGTCTACGTTGCTTTTGCATATTACACAAATCATTGTATATGTATTCTCTAATATTATATATTCACTATAGAACTTGATGGTCTACGTTGCTTTTGCATATTACACAAATCATTGTATATGTATTCTCTAATATTATATATTCACTATAGAACTTGTTGGTCTGTGTCGCTTTTGCATATTACACAAATCATTGTATATGTATTCTCTAATATTATATATTCACTATAGAACTTGATGGTCTACGTTGCTTTCTCTAATAGTATATATTTACTATAGAACTTGTTGGTCTACGTCGCTTTTGCATATTACACAAATCAATTTATATGTTTTCTTCAATTTAAATATATACTCACTCTAGAACTTGATGGTCTATGTCGCTTTTGCACATTTCACAAATCATTGTATATGTCTTCTCTAATATTATATACATAATCACTATTGAACTTGTTGGTCTGCGTCACTTTTGTATATAATACAAATCACTGTATATGTCTAATCTTCAATTTAAATTACTCACTATAGATGGCCTGCGTCGCTTTTGTATACTTCACAAATCATTGAATATGTTTTCTTCAATTTATATACTCACTATAGTACTTGTTGGTCTGCGTCGCTTTTGTATACTACACAAATCATCATATATGTCTTCTTCAATTTCCTCACTCTCTTGCACTACTGAGTCATACAACTCTTCTGCATCCTCTAAGGTTTGCTCACTATAGGGTTATAGAGAGAACAGTTATCACAGCAAGCTACAGAGACACTATGTTACTACAGTGACCATGGTGATGGTTGCTAGGGTGATTATTGCTATAATGAATGTTACCATAGTGATGAATAGGATACAGTCTCCAATGCCATTTTTAGTTAAAGAAACAATGTCTAAGTTACTGTGGATACTTTCACCAATGTCAACTACTATAGGTTTGAGCATCCCAAAGTTATTTAATAGGTAGTTGACATTATTACAGTTTGTCCCAAAAAGACGAAACAAGCAATAATATTGTAAAACTACAAAACCAGTAATGATTACATCAATTTCATTAGTTTACCTTGAAGTCTCCTGTTATTCTTTCCAATGATATGTCATTTGGTTATATCATGGGCTTTCAATTGGAAGGGTATGCAACTCTGTGAAATAAGCATGAGACCTTCAAAATGAGCAATGCCATGCTTCCCTTTTATGGTAATATTTCCTAAAGTATTAGATATTAAATGTATATGTTTTAGTATTATTTTGAATAGAAATCAATTTCCAATATGATTAAAGCATAAAATATATTCAATCTCATGTACTAGTTAACAAAAAATACCAATAAGAATAAGAGGTATCAAGATGTTCTCTTCGAGTATTGCATTGTGGGTAATTATTCAAGAACACATTCCAATAAAAACATAATTTGTGGGAGAATGTTCACTTTGTGTATTGTCATAATTATGATGAATTCCATTTTTTATTAGATTTTCAACATGTATGTAGATGATCATGTTTTTATTTTTGAGATATTTCTTTAAATCATCCATAAAAAGTACAAAATAAGATTTCCTTGGAATGTGTTTATTCTCCAATTTTGAAAACCCAAAGGCAATGTTTATGTATGAAATATGGGAAGTTGCCTACCCTTCTAGTTGAAAGCCCATGGTTATATGTGATCATGTACCACTGGATAATCAGTGTTTTAACCCACAGGTGAAATGGCATCCTCAAACAACTGATTCTTATTGTATGTAAATCACTAATATTGATTGGGAGCTGGGGATTAAATGGTCACAAGACTTACATAAAACAACTCTAACATACTTTGTATTTAATTTAATCCATCTATATACACAAACCCTTGTGTCACCCACTCATTGTATATGTATATTGTATGTGTTTTGTGAAATAAACAAATTGAAATTGAAGTTTTAGATTTAGATTTACTACGAAAAAAGATTGAACTTTAAGTGTTCATCAGTTGCATCCTTGATGGTTCAGTTAATGTTGGAAAAAGAAGTGGCATAAACAGTCAGTTTAAGTCAGTTAAATCGCAATCATTGTCAATCACCTTATAAAAGATTACTTATGGAAGATTACATTCCACACCCCTTCACATGGACTTTGGGTTCTGGTGGGGAACAGCAACCACATTGATGATTCTCTGGTAACTGTTGCAATTTCTAAAACTTGGTCCAGAGCAGATTTTAGCCTGTTGTGTAAAAGGAATGATTATTCAGTGGCCTGTGGCCAAATATTGGAAAGAGGAGACCCGTGGCCTTATGGTACACTAAATCAAATTGATATAATTATCACTGGTTTTGTGGTGTCACATTATTTTTGTTTGTTATGTTTTTTGTGACGTACTGATATTATATTTCTAAGTTACTATGATGATGCATATACAATTATTATGACGAGTGACACTGTTACCCTGCCAAAGGTCACTATTCACTATGCTATCACCTTGATAACAGTACACTGGATAATACACAGATTTCCTTTGGCATCAGTTACCATAACAACAAACTTTATAGAATGATCACCATAGCAACAGTCACTCATATTACAATATAAATGCAGTGAGGTAGACTCGCAAACAGGTCAAATCACTCCCAAAGTTTTCCCCTACAAAAGATAGGGTGCCGAGTTAACAAAGAAACTAAAGCATGGACATCTAAAAAAGAATATACCAAAAATGAAACCGAGAGAAATCTGAAAGTAAATTAAGATGAAGCCATTAGAGTAAGAGATAGATTAGCAGAGAGTCACATTCAACATATTAGGGAACACTTATGTTGAACATTCTACAGAGATTTGAGCAAAAACCGAAGTACCCTAAATATTAGAGCATCAAGTGAATGGATTGAATTACTGTTGAGATAGCTTTGAAAGGGTGCTCTAGAAAGTTCTTTGTAAAACATAGAATGTTCAACATTCGCAATAACTATAATCCTACCTGCATATTTATTATGCCAGCGAACAGAGTTCGGGGATATATAGATGGCTCTGTCTATACGTCCATCAGTCTATCAAGGCAATAACTCAAATACATACCGTTGGACCAATATTAATTATATTATACATTCATCTGTATATGCCGCATTACACACCCTCTTTCAGAATAGCTGCCATTGTAGTGTCAAATTTCGACTTTTTCAATTTCAATTTATTTGAGTTTCCTGAGTTTAGTATATTTCAAATATATGCCAATTTACTGGTTGTTCAATATTGATATTGAAAAGACATAATGAGCCACAATTTCAAATATTTTTCCATTCATTTCATCACTAAGGTTAGTACCTCCATACAAGAGTGCATCTGATTTCTTAGATATTGTAAAAAATTTTAAATTGGGTAGACAATCAAGTTTGTCAAGTCCTGCAAAAAGCAATTCCCTTTCATTTGTGACCAGTAAACATCTGATTAGACAAGGCATTAACATGACAAAATGTCACCACCTAGTTGCTCACAATATTATGAGTTCAATCTAAAGTCAGATTTGAATTTCTGAGAACTTGTAGATGATTTTGAAAACATTAATTGGTCAACTTGAGGCGAGCAGTTTTACAGTATACTACAACAAGGGTTATCACTGAAGCTACAAATCACAGAAATAGTAACCATTAGCAGAGAATCAGAGAAAGCCAAGAAATAGTTGCAGAGAGAGAGAGAAAGAAAGAGAGAGTAGGAAATATGTATTGCATATTATGTTCTTGTCTGTTCTACCTGGCTTAGTCTTCTTGCTTTTACTGAGCACAGGTCTTCGTAGATGTCATCTTCCTCATCATTTTGGTAGACAGGGTCATATATCATCCTCAGGTAACTCACTGTCAATGAAAATATGAGATTAATATGGATTACTAGAGCCTGTTATATGTCACATAACCATATGGCCAATCAATCATCTACAGGGTGTTCAAGAATCTACAGGGTGGTCAAGAATCTACAGGGTGGTCAATACTCAATGCCTTATCTCTAGAAAATAATAAAAAGAAGGTTATACAGCAAATCCCTCAACTTCTGAGATGACCAGCCTTCTTAGACGAGTAACTCTGTAGGAAAAACACATTTTCATTAGTCCCATTCTCTTTGAGAGACCCCTATGTCAGAAACACTGCTTTTATGATTCACAGATATATCCTGATTGCTACACTTATTGCCTGTTACTGTTGAATCACAATTTAATGATTCTTGTCTAAAGTCAATTTAAATGTTTTATTTTTGTCAATAAAACCTAAAGAAAATATAGGAAAAAAAATATTTATACTGTTACTGCACACAAAAGACATTTGTATATTTGAGATTTATTAGTTTAATATGCAATAAACTGGTCTCTTTTATTTGAGGAGTTTCTTTTTTCGAAAATAGTTCATAACTTAAGAGAACATTTCTACAATTTTCAATGATCCATCCTTCTCACATAGACTTACTCTGAGATTGGCTGTGAGAAATCCCAAAACACATAATAGTCATAATCAGCAGACAGCATAAATATTGGCTCATCAATATATTCCAATGGGAAGTACCTTTCCAGAAAATATCTATATCCTCACACTAAAACCTGTCTAATATGAACACCACAAGGACCAGAAAAAGTATTCAGATTGACAGGTGTTCACCTTTCAAGGTTTCTAAATGATAATATGGAAGATTAGAAAAAATGGGACCAGAAAAGTGTTCAAATTGAGAGGTGTTCAGATTAGAGAGGTGTTCTGATATACATGTTCTGTAATATTGATTATTAGTCTCTCATAAAGTTCTTATATACTCCCGCACTCCCTATATCTCTTACCCATCTTCTGACAAGGTGGGGTGAGTGGACTTGATGTGAGACTATGAATAGCCGGACAACGGTAAAGTCAGTCAGATACCGTTGTCACAAATGGCGGACATAACCGTCGCTTCAATTAGATTTTTATGAACTGTCTGTTTTATAGAGCACCTACACTATATTAATTTGGAACATCAATCAATCAAAGTGTCTTAATACTCATTGTACAGTTAATAATATGTTCTACCATCGAAATAAAGTCTTCAATTTAACTGATCAAAATGAGATATGGGACAACGGACACTGTAATTACCATATGCCGTTGTCTTTCTAAATTACTCAAATTCAGATTCCGTTGTCATTGATGATATCAAAGACGCTATATTGTGGCGATTCACGACCCAATTTGATCGAAAATCGGATTTCATATGATACATTATCACAAGAGCTTAATGCATGCACAGAATTTACGACGATAAAATCCCATAAAATGAGGACCAGGTGATTAAACAGTTGAAGCGACAGTTATGTCCGCCATTTGTGACAATGGTATCTGACTTTACCGTAGTCAGGCTATTCTGGTGTGATGTTACTGACTTTCTTATGTTATTGTACTTGGCAGTTAATATAATTATTACTTAATATAACTTTTTTGCACAATGTTGCTCATTCCTTCATTGAACAGCTCTATTTAATTATCTAATTCTTTTTTTATAATGGATCGAAGTCTTTAAACTCAATTTAAAGTTTTAGACATCTGATACCACAGGAAATCCTGTATAATAATAAGAATCTCCTGATTTGTGTTTCAAAAATGAGCAACAGTGTTGTCCTACCTAGCAATATCAGCTAAATTATAGTAGTCATTTTCAACCTGCATAAGAGGCTGGTCTCTTGGAGGAAACCCACTGAAAGTAAACCGCTTTTAACTAGAGGGCGTGCACTGACCAGAGGGGGGAAGGACCCAGGATTCATTGTACCACATGCATTTTGGAAGAAATTGTGCCAGTTAATGAAACATTCAGCATGCAATTTTGATTGATTGTACCTACAGTTCTACATGCGCTAGTAATTTATTTAAATAGGAGGTACTCACCAAATTCTCATTTAGCAAGATTAATCTTGGTTATGAGAAGGTGAGATTGCTTCTAAAAGTGCATTCCAAAAATTAAAATTGAAAATAATGAAATAATAAGAGATTCTAAAGACTGCAAATATAGAAAAACATTAGAGAAAAAATGACGGTTCATAGGTGGAAATCACTGATACAATTTACATATCAATCATATCTGGTCTCTTTTGGAATGTGCCCTATTTAGAGAGAATATGGTATAAGACTCTTGATAAAAGACATAGTGACATAATTCTAAAAGCATCTCACTTTCCCATAACACACCAAGCCTTAGCTAATTGAAAATTCCTATCACCTCATGCTAGCCAAGCATTCAATAGATGCTTTATTGACCTTTTTCAATATGGATACATAGAGAAGGAGTAATAGATGGCAGTGTGAGAGGGTATGGTTTGAATACAAATTGCAAGTATATAGAGAACTTGCGGAAAATCACTTAAATTCTTGTTTTTTCAAATATTATCATTTGGATTCATGTCAAACTGAATATGCATTTAACTATGTGATCTTGTTGTCATGTAGATTTAACATTGAAATTCAAAAGAGTTAATGGATACTTTTATTTAGCTTTTTCAATATTGTGTTAATGGGGATTTAACCTCAACCTTTTTCAGAAAACTTGAAAATTTGAACAAAGGTAAATAACTGTGAAAATAAACGTAGAATTCCAATATGCCATCAAAAAGAAGATGTTGGTTTTTAGCAAGGGAAAGATCAATACCCGGTGATTTCAGCGGGAAGTGGCGTTTCGTTCAGTGGATGAGCTGCGCGCGCACGCATAAATGTGATTATCCAATATAATTAGGGAAGGGCTTTTGAAGTAGTTTTTGGTCTCAGGCGCGACCCAGGGCTGTTGTCTTAAGGACATTTCGTTGAAAATGAGCACAATCCATGTATTGATAGAAGAAACATTAATAATACAGATTGGTTTACCTTCAATACATGGCAGACACTACATATCGGTCTATTAAATACCAGTTTGTGCCTTAAATAGTTTTATATTTCCATCCACGGCCTGGAGCCTGGGTGTGTTTGTCTCTTATGTGTATGCTTATGCATGGACTTCTAATCACTAGCAGAATTTAACATGATGCAAACTCGACATTATAACTCATGCTGTAACATTTTGACTTCGCTGGAAAACAATAGGAATTATTTTTCTTGCCAATCAATCATGAATCACAATCAAAATTTCAGAATGATCAATCAGGCAATGGTCCAAATCAAGTTATAACATTATATGATATTCAGCAAGAAGTCCGGTAGAAATACAGAATATTTAAACATCAAAGCTGAACGTTAAAAGCTAATCTGTCAATTTTCTGTCTGCAAAAGAGCGTTTACATTTGACACAATAACAGACTGAGGCTTTGAAATCTAGGATTCCCCAGGAAAATATGACGTCATACTAATTAGCATAAGGATTTCCCTATTGGTGTGGGTCGAGCCTTGTTCGAAAACACAATCCATAAATACATGCTAATTTCTAAGGAGATAGGAAGTGTATAACGTATTTATCGATTTTGTTTAAAGATTTAATCAATTATCAAATTATCAATTATCAAGTGGATAAAGTGGTCACACTTGCTTCAATTCATAGCGAAATCGACGGATAGAAACTGACCGAATTCCCGATATCCTACCCCGTATTACTGTAGGCTATAAGCACAGTGACCTACAGAGGGCGCTATCACAAACAAGTACTGCACGAACCGATAAATTCCCGGGTATTGTAACGCCCTTGGTTTTTAGTGGTCAAAAATGCAGATCTCCTAAAATCTCATTAAAATGAGACTTGAACGGGATTTCAAAACTCTATGGAAGAACCTCTATTGACAACAAATAAAAAACTCAAATGAACAGTAACAAATTCTCCTTTGCAAGAAACACAAATTGCAAATTAATATTAGAAATGACAAGGTTCATAACAATTTGAACACACTTCAGCAAACTCATAAGTTAATCAAACAAAACCATTTTCAAGTGTAATTTCATGAAGGCAGTCTTATAATAATCAAATTAAATGCAATGAACAGAACAGAACAGACAAGTCAGACATTTATATAAACATTCCTTGGAGGACAATTCAGATTCTCTTGGGGTACTAATAACAGGAAATGAAAATAACAGAAAGTAAAAAACATGCTGAATTTTTTACATTTTTTTTAACCAAGAAAGTATTACATTACTACTGGGTATGGAAGGAAAGGGGGAAATCAATACAATAGTCCTTTAACATTAATACTGTGGTGTGGAAGGGAAGGGGGAAATTAATACTGTAGTCAATTTACATTAATACTGTGGTGTGGAGGGAAGGGGGAAATCAATAGCGTAGTTCATTTACATTAATACTGTGGTGTGGAAGGGAAGGGAGAAGTCAATAGTGTAGTCCATTTACATTAATACTGCTACTTGGAAGGGAAGAGAAAATTAATAGTGTAGTGCTTTTACATTAATACTGTGGTGTGGAAGGGAAGGGAGAAGTCAATAGTGTAGTCATTTACATTAATACTGCTACTTGGAAGGGAAGAGAAAATTAATAGTGTAGTGCTTTTACATTATTGCTCAGGAAGTAGAGGGGGGTAATCAATAGTGTAGTACTTTATAGTAATACTGCGGTGTGAAAGGGATGGGGGAAATCAACAGTGTAGTGCTTTTACATTAATACTGTGGTGTGGAGGGAAGGGGGAAATTAATACTGTAGTCATTTACATTAATACTGTGGTGTGGAGGGAAGGGGGAAATCAATAGTGTAGTCATTTACATTAATACTGCTACTTGGAAGGGAAGAGAAAATTAATAGTGTAGTGCTTTTACATTATTGCTCAGGAAGTAGAGGGGGGTAATCAATAGTGTAGTACTTTATAGTAATACTGTGGTGTGAAAGGGATGGGGGAAATCAACAGTGTAGTGCTTTTACATTAATACTGTGGTGTGGAGGGAAGGGGGAAATTAATACTGTAGTCATTTACATTAATACTGTGGTGTGGAGGGAAGGGGGAAATCAATAGTGTAGTCCATTTACATTAATACTGTGGTGTGGAGGGAAGGGGGAAATTAATACTGTAGTCATTTACATTAATACTGTGGTGTGGAGGGAAGGGGGAAATCAATAGTGTAGTCCATTTACATTAATACTGTGGTGGTGTGGAGGGAAGGGAGAAGTCAATAGTGTAGTCCATTTACATTAATACTGTGGTGTGGAGGGAAGGGGGAAATTAATACTGTAGTCATTAACATTAATACTGTGGTGTGGAGGGAAGGGGGAAATCAATAGTGTAGTCCATTTACATTAATACTGTGGTGTGGAGGGAAGGGAGAAGTCAATAGTGTAGTCCATTTACATTAATACTGTGGTGTGGAGGGAAGGGGGAAATTAATACTGTAGTCATTTACATTAATACTGTGGTGTGGAGGGAAGGGGGAAATCAATAGTGTAGTCCATTTACATTAATACTGTGGTGTGGAGGGAAGGGGGAAATTAATAGTGTAGTCCATTTACATTAATACTGTGGTGTGGAGGGAAGGGGGAAATCAATAGCGTAGTCCTTTTACATTACTACAGCAGTGTGGAAGGGAAGGGAGAAGTCAATAGTGTAGTGCTTTTAAATTATTACCTAGGAAGTGGAGGGGGGTAATCAACAGTGTAGTGCTTTTACATTACTACAGCAGTGTGAAAGGGAAGGGAGAAGTCAACAGTGTAGTGCTTTTACATTACTACAGCAGTGTGGAAGGGAAGGGAGAAGTCAATAGTGTATTGCAAGAGAGTTTAGGGTTTGGGTCTATATTGTTTGATTTCTTGGTTATAACCATCAGTGTTTTCTCGAAAAGACCAGCTCTTGTCAGATGTCCAAATTAGGACACAACTTACGTCGCTCTTTCTTCCAAACCAAAATATTCTTCATCATCAGCATTTTTTCGTTCTTTACGTCGTAGAGAAAATCCACTGAAAACCAAGGAGCATGCATTTTCTGATTATCATTTGAAAACCAATCATACACTCCAACTTGATGCAAAATAAAAATCCTATACTATGGTACTACTGTATATTTTAAGGATATGCATGTCATTCATTACTGATATCATTCATGATCACTGAAGTCATTCATCACTGATGAAACAATATGTTCTGTCACATCAAAATTCTCAGATGCATTTAGGTTTATCTCCATGCAAAATCAGTTTGGGAATTTAGGACTAGTCTATTTTAGATTATATATAAAGAGAACTAACAATGACACAAAAAAGGTATGTTATGTGACCATTTACTTACATATAATAAGCATTTAAAAAGCAGCATTTTACAAGCAGCTCCTTTTACCAGATAAATTATTGTAGACTGAGAATTTCATAAAATGGAATTCATGAAAACTGGCACAATTCAGTAATGGTCTGATTAATACAAACAATGTAATAATTGCTTTTTTAGCAATTAATACTGCTACATAAATATTCTGAATTGTCTAGCCTTATAAATGATAAATTGTTAGTTCTCAAAACAGAGCAGTAAATGTAACATTGTCAATTGAAGTAAACTTCCAACAATAAATCTTTTCCAACAGCTAATTCATCATCACATTTTTAGATTACCATGGTAATAACTAAATTCCAATCCTCATTTTAACGAAATAACAAAATATACACTTGGGAATCAAATAATTCCTTATGTGAATAGATTCTAAATTATGAGTTATTCCATTGAAGCATGAAATATAACATTAATATTACATAATATATTTTAAGTAAGAAGTTTTACCTCGCTATACGTGTGGATTCTGGGAGTTTGGAGAGCTTGGAAAGTGTGTGAATGACCTGGAATAAAAATAGAGAACACTTTAGAGAAAAATACTTAAGAAATCTATATTAAAAAACACTTCATTCTAGAGTACAATCTACTGTACAATATGATAGCATAAGCATTAAGCAATTCTCTATTGTTGCACAATTTAAGAATAAGAAAAAGGTCCCTCTCACTGGAATTTCACTCCCTTTACCTCGCAGGCAAGAAGAACCCTCCTCCCGCTCCCCTCTACTAGGGGAACAGGTTACACCTATATCATTTTAGAGAAAACATAGAATAATAGAAGTGAGCATTGTTACAAAGTGTCTTTTTTAATATGAGCCTTTTTGAAGCAAGTAACTACCTCTACGTGGTCTAGACAATTAAATAATAAAATATTGAAATGAGAAAGTGTATTTTTAAATATGAGCCTTTTTGAAGCAAGTAACTACCTCTACGTGGTCTAGACAATTAAATAATAAAATATTGAAATAAGAATGTGTATTTTTGAATATGAGCCTTTTTGAAGCAAGTAACTACCTCTACATGGTCTAGACAATTAAATAATAAAATATTGAAATGAGAAGCTTATAAAGCATTAGTGAGTACCTCTACATGGTCTAGACAACTAAACAATAAAATATTTTAATCTGAAGTAAACAATATTATGTTGTTTTCAAAAGCAATTCTTCTAATTCCTTCCTTGTTTCAGTTTCCAAAGAATAGATTAAGAGCCCCGAATCCTCACAGAGAAGCCATACTACCCTGTTACTATATCAAATTAACCACCCTGAATCCTCATAGGAAAGCCATAATACCCTCCCTCTCAAAACATCAGATTAACAACCCCTGTCCTCCATAGCATATTCACAATACCCTCTTACCATGCCAGATTAACAACCCTGATTCTTCATATCATAGGCATATGACCCTCCCTCTTACAACATAAGATTAACAACCCTGATTCTTCATATCATAGCCATATTACCCTCCCTCTTACAACATAAGATTAACAACCCTGATTCTTCATATCATAGCCATATTACCCTCCCTCTTACAACATAAGATTAACAACCCTGATTCTTCATATCATAGCCATATTACCCTCCCTCTTACAACATAAGATTAACAACCCTGATTCTTCATATCATAGCCATATTACCCTCCCTCTTACAACATAAGATTAACAACCATGATTTTTCATAGCATATCAGTGTGGGTCTTAAGATTTTTTCATTACTCGCCTCTTGTATTGTTGTTCAATGAAACTATATACAAACATATGTAAAGTAAATCAAAATAATCATTGTGTACCATTATAAGGTATTAAGTAAAGACTATATTACCAGGTTTCAAAAATACAAATTAATTAAGTGTGAATACTTAGCAAAGTATATAGTTTGCTCCCAATCAACTGTGATCAGTGCTTGACAGTAATTTTCAAGTTTTACATTTTTATCCTGGTTTGATAAAATGTTTCTGGTGACCCTGACCTATACTGTACACCGGCGGATCCAGGGTGGGCCAAATCTTGGGATTTAGGGACCCAAAAATTTTGTAAGTGCAGACATTTTTTCCCAGATTGAAATTTGGCCCCCTTGTCAGTTTCTGGATCTGCCAGTAATGTAGAAGATTCAAAGGAGTTTTCCTCCGTTATATGAATATACAAGGAATAAGACATGCTCATTCGAATCATGGAAAAAAGTATGGATAGGTTTGGTGTATAAACAAAGGCTGCTTATTCATGAATAATTTAAAAATATTTGATGTAACTTATGCTTGAATACATATGTTAAATGTCAAACCTCTTTTAAACTAGAAAAACAGCAACTCCACGGAGTAGCAAATCCCACTGAACAAAACATGTTTTGATAAATACCGGCCATATAAATTTTGAGGCAAATCCATCCACTGGTATTTCAATTATCGAAGAATTCAGCTGTCATCTTTAGATAATGTTTTTTTACAAAAATGGCCGCCATTTTGAAATATGGCGACCATCTTGAAACTGTCTTCTTGAGCAAGGCTCTTTTGTAACCAGGCAACAGCATATAAAATTTGAACCAAATCCATCCACTAGTATTAGAGTTATCAAAGAATATATTGAATCATTTTTGAATTTAGCGGCCATTTTGAAAAGTCCTTCTTGAGTAGAGGTCCTACACCCATCGACTATCAAATCATATGTAATAATCCTATCAAAGGGAATTTTGAGAAATGAGAATGACATAGAATGAGAATGACATAGCAAGGTTTGACCTTTAATCCAAATATTAAGTGTTTAGATCGGCAATTGTTTCACATTTAGAAGAGTTTAGATTCGAGACGTGTTTACAAATACAGGTTTTACTGTACTATAAGATGAAAGCTTGACTAGTAGCTGTAATACTTATCTGCTTATAGGTCATGTTGACACACACATTTTTATGTTTTATATGACATCAAGTACAACATTGGCCTACCCCATGACCACAAAATTCCAACACTATATGTGGTTCAACCAGGAAGATGAAATGTGTTGGGATTTTAGTTTGTCATAACAAATGTACTCTAAATGATCTTTTTGAATTTTGTTTCAACAGTTTCATTTATTAATAGTGAAGGTTTATTCACACATGCAAAATTCTATAATGAATTTAAGTTTTTAACTTACAGTGAATGTTTATATAGCAACTTGTTAAATGCAGAATCAGATCTATATGGGGATGACAAAATTGCAAGCAACGTGAACAAAACACAGAGCGAACAGAATCACACCCTTAAATAGAATACAGTTTTTGTGATGGAAAATTCAAAATGGCCACCCTTACTTTTACCCAGACTGCCCGAAAAATAATCAGTTCTAACCTGTCATAAGCAGAAGCATCCCTAAGATTTTCAGATGAATTCATAAAAGGGTTTGGCTTGAAACCTGTAGACTCCTCGATTGACAAACTTTTAGGATGGAAAATCCAAACTGGCCTCTTTAACATTTATTCAGAATCCCCAAAAACTAATTAGACTTTCATAGGTAGATACATCCCTGAAAACTTCAGATGAATCACTGAAACAGTTTGGCTGGAAACCTGTAGACTCCTGGACTGACAAGATTTAAGAACAAAACAACATTTACCCAAAATGCCCAAAAACTAATCAGTTCTAAACTTTCCTTGGTAGAAACATCCCTGAAAATTTCAGATGAATCCCTGAAACAGTTTGGCTGGAAACATTTATCTGGAAGACCACCCAGTGTTTTTCTTTAACGTCGGACAGGCGGACAATGTCCGTCAAATTGTTGCCTGGTCCCATAAACCCACCTTGCTCTCAGACCGTATGTCTGATGGCCTCAATATGATCACAGACCGCTGGCAATTCTGATAACAATTCATCGGAAATCAGATATATTTTACTAAGAAATCAAATCGAAAGACACAAGCTTGCAGAAGTCTACACGACAGTGACTATCTAAGTGACTATCTTTGCAGAGACCAAATCCCAGAATGCAAATAACATGCGAAAAAAATGATATTCTTCAAAAGGAGAAGATATACCATATTCCTCAAAAGGAGAAGATAAACCATATTCTCCATCAGAAGATAAACCATAATACCCGAAAGGAGAAGATATACCACATTCCCCTAAAGAAGCTATATCATATTCCCCTGAATAAGATAAAGATTATTCTCTACTCAAAACAGCAAAACCATGGAAAAAATCCCAATGAACAAAACATGTTTTGATGAATAGTGGCCATTTTGAAAAATTTTCCTTGAACAGATCTCCTTTGACTCTAGGTATCAGCATATAAAATCTGAACCAAATCCGTCCACTGGTATTTGAGTTATCAAAGATAATGTTCTTTTACAGAAAATGACAGCCATTTTGAAATCATCTACTTTCCTGTAAGATAATACTACATTGTTTTTAGAATTAGGCGACCTAACAATTCAGATCATCTTGATAATAATGTCAAAAATAATAGTCAACGTGAACAATTTCCTGGTTTCAAAACAAGTCTAGCCATTCTACAGGGAATCCAAAAACAGGAGTAAGAAAATAATAACTCGGTCAATTTTGCATATTCTGCCTTGAAATTTCAGAATTATTTTGTTCATTCAATATAGATTTTGTTTTGAAAGTTTGATGATAATCTACCTATTGAGTCGGAAACTACAGTTCTTTACAAAACATTCTCAAAATGGGCACCTCTCCTAATCTGGCGAATGAAGCTGTTGATGACACTCCTACACAGACATCAACATGGAAGGCACAAATTTGGGTAGTTATTGCCCTCCTGAGATCAGCAATTGTCAGTCAGCATACACATTGTCTTTGAGATATCCCTACAGATAAATATCTTGGGGATCTGGTGAATAAGTTGCCCATGATTTGCGTTTTGTGAAGCTGACTACCAAAGCATTGCCTAAGCCAGTCATCTTATATTCAATAGGGGCCAATGATTCCATATTTGCTTATTGCCACCCAGGCAATGCATTTTTCAGAATGCAATAGATGCTGTTATACTTCATAAGGAGATTGTTGAAATCAACTTGTCCATTCAAAAAGAAATATGTGTCATATCAACAAAGCTGGATTTAATTGTGCAGAGAGAGAAGTGCCCACTTGGAGCATGTTTTGTGAAACGCTGTAGTTTTTGACTCAATAAGCAGATTACCATCAAACTTTCGCAACAAATTTCACAGGAATGAACTAAATAATTCTTAAATTTCAAGGCAGAATAAACAGGACTGACCGAGTTAATCAACTTTTTTTCCTGTTTTACTTTTTTTCCTGTTTTTGGATACCTGAAATTTGTGTTAAGATTTTGTGTCAGATTTTGATTTGAATCCACAGGTACAGACATTTTTTATATAATATGTATATATGAATAGCCCTGAATCAAATATTGTAGAGTTCCTTAGCTTTACTATCATGTATTCTCCAGCTTATTCTATTTGTAAGACTAGACACCAATCGGACCAAATAGACAAGATTATGGTTTTAATATTTATTATCTTAAGAAGGACCTTTCGTTAAAACGAAATATTTTAACATATATGATTTTTACATTTTCATACAACTGACAAGATTATTAATATCTACTTGACATACTGTAGTTATAAACTGCATAATAACAAAGCATAACCATAGTTAAAAACAAAAAAGATCTAACCAGGAATCAAACCAGATATTTTGGGTTTTAAGTGAGGATTCTATAACTAGGTCACTGTCATTTCATAAGGAACAATGCCCAGAATGCACCATTATCATGAGTATTTGTACATAACATTTCCCCTGTTTGTTCATCAATGTATATTCTCTAATTATAGCTCAATGCATTAATCATTTAAGATACTTTCTTGAGCTTAAATGTTAATAATAAATATGTGTATAATAAAACCCTGTCTAATCTAAATGCTTCATATAGCAGGCCAAGATGTTTGGTTAGGCAGAAGTTCAACTTTCAGGATTATTCATATCAAGAGGTGTTCAGATTAGGCAGATGTTCACATTTAAGGATTATTCATATTAAGAGGTGTTCGGATTAGACTGATGTTCAACTTTCAAGATTATTCATATCAAGAGGTGTTCAAATTAGGCAGATGTTAACATTTCAAGATTATTCAGATTAAGAGGTGTTCAGATTAGGCAGATGTTAACATTTCAAGATTATTCATATTAAGAGATGTTCAGATTAGGCAGATGTTCACATTTCAAGATTATACATATCAAGAGGTGTTCAGATTAGGCAGATGTTCACATTTCAGGATTATTCGTATCAAGAGGTGTTCAAATTAGGCAGATGTTAACATTTCAAGATTATTCAGATTAAGAGTTGTTCAAATTAGGCAGATGTTCACATTTCAAGATTATCCAGATTAAGAGGTGTTCAAATTAGGCAGATGTTCACATTTCAGGATTATTCATATCAAGAGGTGTTCAAATTAGGCAGATGTTAACATTTCAAGATTATTCAGATTAAGAGGTGTTCAGATGAGGCAGATGTTCACATTTCAGGATTATTCATATCAAGAGGTGTTCAAATTAGGCAGATGTTAACATTTCAAGATAATTCAGATGAAGAGGTGTTCAGATGAGGCAGATGTTCAAATTTCAGGAATATTCATATTAAGAGGTGTTCGGATTAGACTGATGTTCAACTTTCAAGATTATTCATATCAAGAGGTGTTCAAATTAGGCAGATGTTAACATTTCAAGATTATTCAGATTAAGAGGTGTTCAAATTAGGCAGATGTTAACATTTCAAGATTATTCATATAAAGAGGTGTTCAGATTAGGCAGATGTTCAACTTTCAAGATTATTCATATTAAGAGGTGTTCAGATTAGGCAGATGTTCACATTTCAGGATTATTCATATCAAAAAGTGTTCAAATTAGGAAGATGTTCATATTTCAAGATTATTCATATCAAGAGGTGTTCAAATTAGGCAGATGTTCACTTTCCAGGATTATTCATATAAAGAGGTGTTCAGATTAGGCAGATGTTCAGATTTAAGGATTATTCGTATTAAGAGGTGTTCGGATTAGATAGATGTTCAACTTTCAAGATTATTCATATCAAGAGGTGTTCAAATTAGGCAGATGTTCAACTTTCAAGATTATTCATATTAAGAGGTGTTCAAATTAGGCAGATGTTCATATTTCAAGATTATTCATATTAAAAGGTGTTCAGATTAGGCAGATGTTAACATTGAAGGATTATACATATCAAGAGGTGTTCAGATTAGGCAGATGTTCACATTTCATGATTATTCATATTAAGAGGTGTTCAAATTAGGCAGATGTTCAACTTTAAGGATTATTCATATTAAGAGATTTGCAGATGAGGCAGATGTTCACATTTCAGGATTATTCATATTAAGAGGTGTTCAAATTAGGCAGATGTTCACATTTCAGGATTATTCATATTAAGAGGTGTTCAAATTAGGCAGATGTTCACATTTCATGATTATTCATATTACAGGTGTTCAGATTAGGAAGATGTTCACATTTAAGGATTATTCATATTAAGAGGTGTTTGGATTAGACTGATGTTCAACTTTCAAGATTATTCATATCAAGAGGTGTTCAAATTAGGCAGATGTTAACATTTCAAGATTATTCAGATTAAGAGGTGTTCAAATTAGGCAGATGTTCACATTTCAGGATTATTCATATTAAGAGGTGTTCAAATTAGGCAGATCTTCACATTTCAGGATTATTCATATTAAGAGGTGTTCAAATTAGGAAGATGTTCACATTTCAGGATTATTCATATTAAGAGGTGTTCAAATTAGGCAGATCTTCACATTTCAGGATTATTCATATTTAGAGGTGTTCAGATTAGGCAGTTGTTCATATTTCAGGATTATTTATTTTAAGAGGCGTTCAGATTAGGCAGATGTTCATATTTCAGGATTATTCATATCAAGAGGTGTTCAAATTAGGCAGATGTTCACATTTCAGGATTATTCATATCAAGAGGTGTTCAGATTAGGCAGTTGTTCATATTTCAGGACTATTTATTTTATGTGGTGTTCATATTAGGCAGATGTTCGTTTTTGAAGCTTATTCATATTAAACTGTTTTCAGATTAGGCAGATGTTCACATTTCAAGATTATTCAGATTAAGAGGTGTTCAAATTAGGCAGATGTTCACATTTCAGGATTATTCATATTAAGAAGTGTTCAGCTCAAACAGTTTTTCAGATATACATGTATAGCTTTAACTGTATGATTTTCTTGAAATTATGCAGAGAAATGTCTCTAAATATGAACATGTAAAAACTATAAAATTTGACATTTTGCGAATCTAAAATCTTTTAAAATATGTTATCTTATTGGATCAATAAAGAAAATTGTCAAACAAATTTTAATCTATCAATGAACCTCAAGTGGAAACTCAAATAAATATTCGACTATAGTGAACAAACAAACCATGAGAAAAAGCCCAAGTTGGTCCTGCTTGAAATATAAAATAATATAAAAAGTTTGAATTCAGTGAAAAATCAACTATATTAAAGCATCTTTAGTGTACACTCCAAGTTGTATGAATGTCCAGATACTCAATCTTTAATATCTGTGGAGTGAAATAGACATGATTCAAATGATATTTTAAAACTGGGTCTAGCATCAAATCAATTTCCTCCTGGCACAAACACTAAATTATAAAACATGATAGAATTGACAATTTCCCAGTCTGTATCTGTGGCATGGTTGATCGACTTGTTAATTTAATGACATATTCTTATTCTTAGTTGAAGGGATATTGAGTTTTGTAATTCTACGTATCTTGATGTCAATATAGCAAATGGGGCGGAGCTTGGAATCATTCATTTTTCTGTTATGTTTCGGTTGAATCTAGCATGTCAAAATCAAAACTTTCAGATTTGAAGAATATTCCAAGTTGCAATATTTCAATAAACTGGGATTAACCATAGGTGCATTAAATCACTTCTTGTTAACCATAGGTGCATTAGATCACTTCTTGTTAACCATAGGTGCATTAGATCACTTCTTGTTAACCATAGGTGCATTAGATCACTTCTTGTTAACCATAGGTGCATTAGATCACTTCTTGTTAACCATAGGTGCATTAGATCACTTCTTGTTAACCATAGGTGCATTAGATCACTTCTTGTTAACCATAGGTGCATTAGATCACTTCTTGTTAACCATAGGTGCATTAGATCACTTCTTGTAGTTAGAAACATGTTTTATAAACTCAACTGGAGTTCCACTAAGTGTCAAAGTGTATAAATGTAATAGCCAGCATGGTATGCTGAAGATATAGATGTTTCTGTAGTCTTAAAACAGTGACAGACATCATCTCATCTCATCAATTATATACATGTCTGTATAATACATGCACATATATAACTAACTCTACATGTATATCAAATTCTGAAATCACTGCAATAGTCAGAGGGTTGTTTATCTAAGATGATGAGTTGCAGGGTAATCATGATCCAATCCAAGAAAAACACTTGTAATGAGTATTTTTCATTATTCTTTGTGATTTGCAGGTTCCAACAGTTTGAAATGGAATCCACTGTGCAAAACCTACAAATCTGTACAACTTGAACCTCCAAGAAGTAGGTTGTTAAAGTATGTGTTAATATAAATAAATAAGCCATTTATTCATCAGGTTCAGGAGCTCAGAACTGCAAAACACTGTAAAACACAGCAGGGTCTAACAATGAGTCGATTAAAACATTAAAAGACCTCTGTAGAACAAGTCTATTTTTGGTGCACTTTAAACTGGCATTTTATTTCATAAGATGAACACCAATGTCCAACATGATATCAAATCATAGGGAGACGGTAATTCCTGAAACTGGTCCCGGGTCAATAAAGTAAGCCACAAGTAAAACCTACCTTTCCAAAATCTTTGACATCAAAAAGGTCGTAAGAGTCAAAGAGGTCAGACTCCTTGAAACCAAACACTGTCTTGCAGGCTGTTAGAAAAGATCTGATGTTCTTCAGGCATAAGAACTGAAAAATACAAAGAAAAACATCTTAAAAAATAAAAAAATAAATGAAATAATAATGGCATACATAGTCAGGAATGATCTGATGTACTTCCCTAGTCCTGATAAACTCCAGGCATAAGAACTGAAAAACAAACATCAACTATTAGAACTATAGAACCATGGTTATCCACTTGGGAATCATTATACATGTATATCTTTGACCATCCTCTTTCTAAAATCCAACAGTCTAAGTGTGCATTCGTTATATCCAAACTGACGCTACTGTCAGCTGAAATATTAATTAATTAAATTATTAAAATTTGAAGATTTTATTGCCTACTGCTGAGAAGTCCGGTAGGCCCCAACTATCGTGCATAGCCCGACTTTTGATGAAAATATCAATCTTATCTGTTTAGTTAATCTTCGACTGATAGCAAATGACGGTGTGATCGTTTTTCAAATAGCGGAAATAGAAGTCATGCATGCGCACTGCGACTATTTCATTTTGGCAGTACAAATAATAATGCAGACCACAGAAACAGGTATTTCAAGTTTATTTTAGAGTATACTCGTATATACATGTACTACTCGAGCATTCTATAACTTCATCAAGAAATAACATTTGCGCCAATTTACTGACCGCCATTTTCATCGAGAGTCAGCTTACCAAGTCACATGACAAGTCACGTGACTCAAGACTCCCGTCAGCCTAACGGGTTCGTTATTCATTTCATATAACTGAAAGTGATTTAATATATGTAAATTGAACCAGGCGCTAGGAGGAAATATTTTCTAGAAAATGCACACTATGTATCAGGCTCATTTTGCACTCAAATCTTAAAGTCTCCTTCTGGATGTCATGGTTACTTATGTTTATCTGATGCAATTCAAATATATATCAAAGTCATCTGAACTATTGTAATAATGGAAGAAAATAAAGATTTGAACATTGAAAAGCTTTCACACGCTAAATCCAATGAAAACTTCCAGTTGTCAACTTATGGAGGGAGTGGATGTAATAACGGGAATTGTGCAATATCTTGGTTTTCACTACAATATAAACATGAAATAGCAAGAAATAAAATAAACAGATACAAATTGCTGGAAATTAGAAAATTTAGAGAGAGAGGATTCTTTAGCAGGAAGCTTTAAGAAATAATAAGAAAACTGAGATATTAAATAATATGAACTCAATAAGTATGAACAGACTGCTTCATTGGTTCATACTTCTATACAGTCAGGTAACTCCCTTTATTTTTTCCAATCTTTTTGACTTGTTTTCTAATCCAAAACCTGATCATCAAAATATTCAATTTTTAAAAGTAAGAAAGACACACCAAGGCAGGTGTATTAACTAGATTAGGTTTAAACAAATATCTAATACTTTACCCAGGGAAAAGTATCTTAAATATATGTAAGATACAAGTCACATGACCTCATTTGGCCAATCAAATCATTTTTGGTATGGAATTGAGGTATCTTGTTAAGAAGTTGCTAAGTATTAAGATTACTTGATGGATGTAAAATATAAAGCAGGTTCACTAATAGGAATAAGATTTGAGTATCACACAGTAGGCAAACTGAACAAAATGCTGAACCAGAATAATGTTGAATACAAATGAAGAACCAAGTACATGTATTGTAAATATATTAGTAGTCAAGACTGTTTTGTTTGTTTGTTTGTTTGTTTGTTTGCTTGTTTGTTTGTTTGTATGATGTTACATCTGTGGCATTAAAGCATTTCACATACCATTTGCATTCATTCCACTTCACTTCTTAAAAGAGAGCTTCGTCTTCACTCTTTCCGTTTACAATAAATCTCTGATCTCACTGAGCCAATCAGAGTTCATTGTCAAAATATGGACTACTTTCTATATGGTCATTTCCAAAGACATCACTGCATAGTTAATAATGAGCACACTTCGCTGATTGTTTGAGAAAGGGTCAGAGTGGTAGATTTGAAATGATTTATTACCCGGGCTGTCACAGGCACCAATCTTTGGGGCAGGGCTGCTAAACTGTAATATAGTTTTATAACTAGACTCTGCACACAGGGTACATTTCACAATACCTGTGTTAGACAATATACATATCTAATAAGTCATAGAGGTATTTTGTCATAAGGGACCAATGCAAAAGTTCAATGTAGGAGAGCTAACTAAATTTTGATAGTTAACTGCCAGACACCCCCCTCTCCCCCTGTTAACTAAATATGAGAAATGTTGATCCTCGCCGCATTTTCAAAAGTATATCCAAATGCACTTGAGTTCATCATATCGCCATGTTTAGGTAAATTGAAGAATATTTCTTGCACTTTCATATATTCTTGAGGATTGACTTTGTCGAAGTATATACTTTTTGAGCTTGCTTTTTAAACCCCAGTCTCGCTGTGTTGACAGTCTTACATGTGAATGAAACCATGGGGTTTCAAGAAACTGAGGACTGTTCCCTGCTCTGCCTGAGGTTGAGGATTGATAATTGAGCTTTAAGAAAGCGTGGTTATTGGCACCACGCCACCCAGTGATGTTGATAGAAATTTTAAAGTATGGGACACAGATTAAAAAAATGTCCCACTCCAACTAAAAATGTGGGTCATTTCAATTTTTTGGGGGACATTTTTTCCGTCGCGATTTAATAAAAATTTATATTCATGTATTTCAATCAAATCCATTAATAAAAATACAATAGGCCAGGGAGTGACTGGCAGTGGTACTTTCATCCCCAGGGGGTTTAACTTTGTCTTGCTCCTGCTTCTGAAATATTTTTAAAAAATTGGCCAGGGGTTCCCCTGTATTTTATCATTTTTCATTCAGGGGTTTCACTTGATCTCATGGGGTACGGTAGTAAAAAAAAAGTCTTAAACCCCCTAAAATTAGCCAGAGGTTCTCTGTATTTTACACTTACTCGCCGGTGGTTCGGCATTTAAAAAATGAAGTTCCAAATCAAACAAATTCGGGTAGGGATAATGCTGACTCAGAAAATTTGGATGATAATTGTGAAAAAAGTCCATGTCATTGCACATTCAGTAGAAATAGTAGAGTAATAAATAATAAAATGCAAAATGACTTGCCTTTCTTTGAAGAAGCTACATTCTTTTGACTAATCAGATTTCCCGTCTCTAAATTAGGCCCGTAATTGACTCCCAGAGGGGTCTAGCAATTGCAATCAATCGCCGAAAGGTGAAAGGTCAAAAAAGATAAATAAACAAACTGAATTTAGAACTTAGAGGGGTTTATTTAGTTCAATATCGGGAGATCTCAAGTAAGTATTGATCTAGATCGTAGACTGCATCATGATTTTACAGATTGGACGCACTGAGGTAAGGAATCTGCGTCTTCCCTGTTAAAATTGCGCCAAAGACGCAAAGACGCGAGCTATCAACATCACTGGCCACCATGGACTAAATGTGGTTTTAACAATATTTCATAGTCTAATTTTGTGCAATTTTTTTATTGATTTCCAAATTCTTCAGTTGACTGTGAGACACTGGATGAAATGATCATGACGAAAATTTTCGGGAATTCAATAATCGATGTCAGCAGAGCTTAACTATTTGGAACAATAACACCCTCCCCCTAACTATCAAAATTTAATTAATTATCCGACATCGATCTTTTGCATTGGTCACTAAGTAACTGATGTTGAAAATATGCAATAAATAAATTAATAATTTAAATAATTTATGAAAGTATGACAGAGAATGGATTTATGAGATTTATGCTCTTTTTTGGCTTGTTCAATGTTAGTGGAAGCCAAGAGATGTATTTCTGGACTTGAAAGAGTTAAATATAATATTTATGTATTTTCAGTGAGTATTTATATAGTAATACATATATTAGACTTTGCAATACATGTACTTACACTAATCTTCATGTATTATTTTTGGTTAATTAATCTGAAAATCACGTCTCTGGTATTTGTAGGGCACATGCCCCTTACAACATATATATTTAAGTACAGCTCTGGTATTTGTAAAACATGGAAATGGACAGTATAATATAATAACAGTCAGCAGTGTGCGGGGCATTTATAAGGGTCACATGTCTGTAAGGCATACTGCCCTATAAATTCTAGACACAAGGCACAGAATGAGAAGAATTAACAGACCAGCAACCTTGATTCACACCTTGGGAATAGGAACATTTCATTCAGGGCCATTCCTCATTTAAGGCTATCAGACTTCAAAACATAAGTTAGCTTTGTTCAAATGGCCAAATTGTAATACTTGCTATATCCAGAATCTTTTTAAAGAGAAAACAAAACAGCTTGATGTTGGATTGGTTCTTCTGGCTAAGTAAGCACAGTGGCAATGTGTCTGTTATATGGTTATTAGTGGCCATGTGCTTATTAGTGATCATGTGTCTATTAGTGGCCATGTGTGTATTTGTGGCTCTATGTCTATTAATAGTCATCTGTCAATTAGTGGCGTCTATAAGTGGCCATATTTCTATTATGGCCATGTGTCTATTAGTGACCATATGTCTATAAGTGGCCATATTTCTATTAATGGCCATGTGTCATATGTGTCTGTTAGTGTCCATATGTTTATTAATGGCTATGTGTCTATTCATGGCCATATGTGTCTGTTAGTGGCCATATGTCTATTAATTGATATATGTCTATTAATGGCCATATGGCCATATGTCTATCAATGGCCATGTGTTTATAAGTGAATATGTATCTATTAAAGGACATGTGTCTATTAATGGCCATATATCTATTAATGACCATATGGCCATATGTCTATTCATGACTATGTATCTATTAGTGGCCAAGTGTGTATTTGTGATCATATGTCTATCCATGGTCATGTGTCTATTAATGGCCATATATCTATGAGTGGAAATGTGTCTATTAAATCCCATGTCTCTATTAATGACTATGTGTCTGTTAGTGGCCATGTGTCTATTAGTGGCCATGTGTCTATTAATGGCAAAGTGTCTATTGGTGGCCATGTATCTATTAATGGTTATGTGTCTATTGGTGGTCATTAGTCTATTCATGGCCATGTGTCTATTTATGGTCATGTGTCTATTAATGGCTATATGTCTATTCCTGATCATGTGTGTATCTGTGGCCATATGTCTACCAATGGCCATGTGTCTATTCATGGTCATGTGTCTATAATAGCCATATGTCTATTCATGGTCATGTGTCTATAATGGCCATATGTCTATTATGTGTATATTCATGGTCATGAGTCTATGAGAGGCCATGTGTGTATTAGTGGCCATTTGTCTATTAATGCCAATGTGTGAATTAGTGGTCATATATAATATGTGTACCTATTAATGGCCATGTGTTTATAAGTGACCATGTGTTTATTAGTGGCCATGTGACTATTAATGGCCATATGTCTATTAATGGCCATGTGTCTATTCATGGTCATGTGTCTATTAATGCCGACATGACATATGTCTATTACTGGATATGTGCCTATTAAAGGTCATGCGTCTATTAATAGTCATGTGTCTGTAAGTGGTCACGTATCTATTAGTGGCCATGTGTCTATTAGTGCCCATATGTGTATTAGTGGTCATGTGGCTATTAATGGTCATGTGTCTATTAGTGGCTATGTGTCTATTAATGGCCATGTATCTATTAATTGCCATGTGTCTATTCATGGCCATGTGTCTGTTAGTGGAAATGGGTCTATTAAAGGAATTCTGGGCGATAGGATAAAAAAATATCGCTACTAGGATGAGATCAAACAACTATGACATGTTTTTTACTGAGGTCGGCATGGAGATATTTTAATTATTTTAAATTTTCCCGTGGATTTGATTTTAAAATATTGCTACTAGGATAAGAATCAAACGTATTTGAAATATTCTTTACTGAGGTCGGCGTGGAGATATTTTAATTATTTTAAATTTTCCGGTGGATTTGATTTTAGAATCTAAAAATGACTTTTCAAGGTGAAATGGACAACATTGAATGGACTTTACAGGAAGTAGAATGATCTTGCTAATATGCATGTTCATGCACATTCTCTCATATCACGCAAATCATTTCTCCCTCGCACTCGTCTCAAATTCCAACATGGAAGAGATTCTAAGAAAAAGACATCATTTAGAACAGAATGGTTTCCCCGAAAATATGGGAGGAGATTCCATGAATTTTGTCAAGAATTTGGACTTCTATGAACTCGGAGGTCACTGGGAAGATTCATTTGTAGATGAAGTAGGATCAGTAGCTCAATAAATATTCCTCAAGATGAGACACCAAAGAAAATTTCAAATGACGATTGTGCAGATATTTCCAAGATATATGTAACAAATCATACCTTATTCGAAGCATATTGTTATTCTTTACCTTTCTGATCATAATGAATGGTATACACAAGCAATCCTGCGTTTATCATCCTCCGATCACAGGGCTTCAAAATCAAGAATATATTCTTTCTTTTTACCTCCTGCAATAAGCAGTTAGCATTTCCCCGATTAAGAACTCGCAATCTGATTGGCTGTCGCAACACTGCGACAGAAATCATGTATAAGTCATTGCGCATAATTAGATCACGTGATTCAGTTTAATCGGGCGCTTCCAAATTGGTTATAGCAGGGGGAAGAAGGAGGTACGGATTCTGGATACCTGCTTAGGAGGATGGCGTTAATATGAGGCCAACATAATGATATTTTAACAGCAGGCTCTTGTCTGTCTAAATCTGAATGATGCCCTCGTAATTCAAGAAATGTGACGTCAGCATTACAATGATATATCAATAGACAGTAGCCCGGAAAAAGATTCGGTGTCTCATCCTGAGAAATATTTATTGAGCTACTGATCCTAATACATGTAAAAGAATCTTGCTGGAATCTATGTTTTGAGTATTACTAGACTACTGGCTATGGAATGGACACATATGTAGACCAAATGGAGGCATTTGAACTTTTTCTCACGAAGAGGCAATTACCATAGAACATACTGGTACATAGATGCGTGGTTACATCAAATCATTTCGTTATTTTAACCAAATGAACTTGTTACGAACATAAATTTTTTTACTTTAGACCTAGTTGAGGTACGTAGCCTAACCATGGGCTTTCAATGTGTAAGTAAAATTCAAAAATACTGTATTTGCTTTTGACAACATATAAATCTATGTTTCACTCCCTGTAGAGAGGGTTAAACGATGACCATTGGGGTGTTGTGTGATCTTGCAAATGTTCATGTTAACCAGGAAATTGAAAATATTTTACCTGTGACATCTGAGGTCGTTGACTAAATTCTTTCAAGTCGATGGAACAGGGTTTTATAGTGTTCAAAAGATAACATATTAACACTCCATCTCGAAGAGTCTGTGCTAAATCGAATGCAACTGCACTGCTGTCTACAACTTTCGAATCGTTAGCTAAAATCTTCATGCGGTATAGCCAATCCGCACAGAGCCTCCAATCTTCGTTCGCCATTTTGGAAGTTCAAGTCAAAGTTTCGAACTTCCTCTTTCGCCCTGAACATGTATTCTCATCAAAATTAGTTGTAATCCGAAATTATTAATAAATTACAAAAGACCCTATTAGATGATAAATAACAACTTAATGTTTTGATCTATTATTCATAAGGTTTTTGCTGTGATTATTTAATGGGGTTTTACCGAGGCTGTGATTTTTAGGCCAGGAACGTGGATAGCAAGTGGTTTCGAGGTAAAACAAATCTTCGAAATATGATCAACTTTACCCGAATTGACAGTTGTTTCTCTCTTATGGAATTTTGAGAGCCGATGATGCAAGTTCAAAGGTACGTAGAGATACTTTTCTGACCAATTTATTGCTATGAAATGCATTATAGAGCTCTGTATAGCCTAAGTGTAGATCTATTGAAATTATTTAAAATTTGTTTGGAACGGTCTGCGGTCCATGTAAGGAGCTTATTGAAGCTTAGGCCAAGCCAGGTCGGTATTTTTTGCTTATCTGATCTTGAATTACCGCCTTGAAACGGAATGTTATAAAAACCCTTCGACCTGGGTGAACGCATTCCGTTCGGTCTTTGCACGCGATTGCCGTCTATGTCACGCATTTGGTACAAAATATGTGTATATATCACGCATTTGTTTCAAAAATATTCACACCTACCCCCCCCTCGTTGACGGATCTGAACAGCGAGCGTGAGCGAGCTGGAAAAATTTTAGGTGTCCAAAATCTGCCAGTGTTCACTGAAGCTGTCCAATGTTTGAAGGAAGGTGTTCAACATTTGGAAGTCACTCATGGTATGAGGTTCCATATCCATCCGCCAAAAGGATATAGTCCATTTAAACACTTGTGGTTTTGTTCTAAATAACGCCATAGTTGGCTTCTAGGGTACCTAGTATGCCACTATTTGGTATCAAAATAATGAGGAGGAGTTCAACTTTCATTTGAATTACGAAAATAGCGATGTAGGTCAAAATAGTTCTGACGTGATCATGTTTACTACGCGTTTGGCCCGTCATCTCAGAATTGAGGCGATGGTAGCAAACGCGAATTACAATAAATGGACGCTGATATCTCAAAAAGTAACCTGACTCCCTATAATTTGATGTAGATCAATCGAACCCCTATATGAACAGGTACATTTTGATATATAACACTATGGGGGGTAAGCGTTTTATAGTGGATCACGAGCGCCATATGTGCCAGGTATTGTTCTGAATTTTCAAATTTGGTGTTGGATTACGGTACTCATACCTCATGTTAGATGGTCCCAAGTTGACAACCCTGATATTGTAACAAAATTTTGGGTTTGTAGAAAAAAAACGGGTACCAGGTAGTAAATCCTCCATGCTGGGTTCAAACTTGGTATGCTTTTTATTTGAAGCTTCTAGCTCAATTTTGAAGGAAGTTATATACATTTTTGTAAATTCAAAACAAATCTTACACGTTTTCTAATGATCGAATTATGTTATTTATTCGTATTTTTTGTTTTTTGGGGTACCCGATTTTTTCAACCGGGTACCGGGTACCAAGTTTGAACCCAGCATGGAGGATTTACTACCCGGTACCCGGTTTTTCTACAAACCCCAAAATTTTGAATTTTTTATTTTTTATTTAGTGCTGTGTACTCGTTATTATTCATTTATTACACTTGATTTGTGGTTCACAGGTGAGATCATTAAGATCTTAATTTGTAGCAACGTTTGCAATACTCTAGGTATAGTTACAGGGGTGAAATAGCGTTTTCATGTTATCAAATTAAGATTCTGTTGATGTTGATCGGGTAGTCAATCGGGTAGTTTAAATGGAAGTTTCCCTTTTTAGAACTTAATTCCTGGTTTTGATTCGATTGAATCGAAGTAAAATTAGAGTAAGTAGCGATCAATTACTGTTCTATTTATTGAGTTCCAATTATAGTCTTGTTGTGTGATCAATATTAAAACGGGATATGGCGTCAATAACTTATTATTTAACTTTGAAATCTTGTCCAAAAAGTGATGACGTCACCATGCCTATAAAGTATTTTGCCGATGTAAACTCAAGAGATGAAAGCTAACTTTCAACGAGGACAGAGCTCCGTTCAATTTCATAATCTACGTGAAGTTGGACTTGGAAATATTTTTGGACTTTGACAATTGTCATAAGAAAAGTCAAAGGTGCAGGTCGAAGGGTTTTTATAACTTTCTTTTTGGCCCGCTTTTTGGACACCCTGTACGTCGAAGGTGAAGGTCGAAGGTGCAGGTCGAAGGTCGAAGGGTTTTTATAACATTCCCCTTGAAACCGTATTGATTGGCAAGAGTCATGATTGATCTGGAATCTCAGCCTAGATCTTGCTATCATGTTCGATCACTTCAGCGAACTTTTCAACGTTCCTTCACCTTGTTGAAATCTCACCTCAGCTCTGGGTATCCGATTGATGCTATGGCATCCACTAGACTAAGCTCTGATTGATATTTATCTGATAAAATATTTGTATTTTCATGATGAATTTGTGCAAGATTTGTTTTGAAAAGTGTTGACCGTGACCGTGTTTTGACCGTGCATAATAATGAGCTAATGCTGCAGAGCCGTCATTGATTGGTTAAATTTACTGACATAAATATTGAGTCGGTAAAGCACGTAGCTTTCTCATTGGTACAAGGCAGTCATAATAGAAATCAAAATAAGTAAAACAGACTGACTTGGGCAAGGCTACGGTCCATGGACCTCAATTTGCCACCATGGGCCACTATTGCTACTACATTTTCTTGACTGTGTCTTTGTTAAAGAACCGTAGGACACAGAGACTGGCTTATTTCAGCTGAAATCATGTTTTAAGAAGCAGAATCGTCATACTATTGTGAAGTTAGATCCGAAACAGTCCCATGGGCTTTCAATTAGAGTTGAAAGCCAATGACAGTCCAGAAGACCATTTCTAGCCACTACATGATAAACTTTCTCAGACTGAAATGACTGTGTCTACCTTTATCACAGTGGTTATGATTTTATCAAGTTATGTCAAACCAGGAGAACAATGCAGTTTTATTTAATTGTTTTTACAGGAGAAATTCAAAGTTCAATCAAAACATTTTTGTGAAATGTACTGTCGTTTTTAAACTCAAGTAAGTAATAAAGATGTCACTACTATCTGAGTCAACCTTGTTAAATGTGGTCCAAATTTTCAGCATGTATCTATCAATTTCATCTGACGGTATCAGTGGTTGTTCGAACTTGGACGAAAACACTGGATTTTCCTGGATTTTTATCAAATTACTTACACCTGTCTGACATATTTATGTATACAGTAATCACTTGTTAAGGATTGGAGGACATCATATTTCTCAGTTTACTGGAAGTACATGTATGGAGAAACAGCAAATTGTTACTGCTTTCATGATCTAGACATTATTCACAGACTGACAGATATTTGTGAATGGTAGTGCCTGTCATACATAGACCTACATATATGCCCACGTACATATGTGTCATAGACCTACATATGTCCTGAGACAATCATCATGCCAAGCAACATAAGGACAACTTTAGGATAACATCTACTGCATATAAATTGTTAGCTAGTCTAGTTGATCACTAAGAGGCAAAAGATAATATAATCATCAAAGTCAGTAATTTCCATACTGTTGGGGAGTGAAGGTGTAAGTGTTTAGTTACTAGACTTGACTTAATACAGGAGCTTATCACACACAGGTGAGTGCCATTGAGATATTTCATACCTTGATAATCAACATCATAATTAAGATAAGCTATGTTAGAATCTGAGGAAGAATTCTCACCAAAATGAGGCAGGCTAAGTCATGTTTTAAATGCAAAATAGTGAGGGAAGGAGTGAAGTTAGCCATGAATGGGTTTAACAAGCTAAAAGATGGAAATGACAATAAAATTATATAGAAATGCCTGAAAATCAATTGATTCATTCTCATTCTAACGAAAAAAAATGTTGTATTATATTCAATTGTAAACACTTCCAAATTGCAAAGTGAGAACAGGAGGGGAAGAAAGTCAAGTAGGAGACTTGAGTTTTACATACTGTAATTGTGATTTTATGTTGTGCTGTTAGGTGTTTAATGTATAAGATCTTAGATGCATAAATGAAGGGTTTGTTAAAATTTGTTCTCTTTAGAGAGGTATTCACATTGAAGTGTTCAAGTGTTCCTATCGTGTATTCTTGAAAACATCTAAAAAATATGACAAAAATGTACATGATTTTTATCAGTATTTATTCAACACCCTGTATTAGTAATTTAGTGTATAAACATGTGTTGTAAGATATGCTTAGCCTTGTGCATAGCTATTACATAATAGTGGTCTTTGGGATGGTAGAAGCCTTTATATCTAGGAAGTCATTTGTTACATCTTATCTATCTATAACACCTCTCTTGCCATCGTCTTTTATTCATCAGAATTGAATAAAGATAACTTTGCCCTGTTAGAACATTGATTATGTTAAAATAAGCTAGATAGTACTTTGTTATTATATGTAATGATATTCTACCTACGTACTTATTAAAAACATGCTGGAATAATCTTTATGAAAGTATAACATAATCTCATAAAGGTGATCTCATAAAAATTTCCCTGCATATAATACAGCTATACATTAATTGATAGAGATCATTCGTGCTTTGTTTTCTTGGCCCTGGGAATCATTCACAGTTATGAATATTAAGATGACAGGCCTGTAGCCAGGATTTGCCAAGGGGAGGTTCACTTTTTGAAAAATTCCAGGGGGTTCACTTGTGACAATTTTGGTCCTAAAATGGCCAAAATCACTTAAAAAGTGCTCAGAATGGTGAAAAACTGCATGATTTTGAAAGATTTTTTGGCCGGGGACCCCCCCCCCCTGGCTACAGGCCTGGATGAGGTATGTTTGGAATTTAAGTCCTCTTTTTGGGAACCTCAAGGAAAAAATGAAGAAAACATCAAATCCCTCCAGTTATCACTTTCAGTATATCTCCCCTGCTTTTAGTATTTTATTAATGTCAACCAAGTACATCCTCAATTTTTGTATTTGTATCATTTATACTCAAGAAAACCCAACCCATTCACATTGTGTTTGAAAGGTTTTTCAACTAGGATTAAAGAGAGCTTCACAGACTGGTGATCTGCTACATTTTGTGTCACTCTAACCTTAAGTTATATAGAATAATGTATTAGTTGATTTTACCCAGAATTATTCCCAATTGTCCCATCTTACCTCTGTTGATCTAATCAGCAATTTATCTTGCAGGGGAATGGGAATGGGTAAAGATAGTCAGTTCAAAAGTCTATAATGTCTGAGAGAATGTGCCTTAGTTATTATATCATCATATTGATCTGCAATGCATCTTG